AGCTGCTGGTGCGGAGTTTTCTCCGTTTTTGTTTCGGTTTTTCAAGGTTGGCCCTTGAAAGCCCCGGAAAGATAGTCGTTAAGAGGGTCCTATTAAGCCCAATAAGGGAAAATATAAAATGTCCCAAAAAAGCCTACCTAGTTTTGGTGTCGGGGAAGTTGACAGGTTGTTAAACCAAGTGGTAATCGTAGTCAGGAAAGGAGCGATTTTGCACCAAGGGCAGCACTCATGCCACCACAGAAGCGTGTACTTATCGCACGCACAGCAGTGACAGCAGTTTTTTGCAAAGTAAGACCGTAAGAAACTAGCAGAGAGACAACATGATCAATGTCATGAGCCTCATCATTGCCATCAACACCTCCCATCCTCATCACCAACATCATCGTTACCAGCCACATCACACACAACATTATCGCCATCACCGGAAATTCACGGATAAAGAACCAACAGTAGTCGAGCATCGCCTTCCCTGCTTAACGGTTCACCGCACAGGCTGAGCCACCAACCCTGGAACCCTGAAATCAGAAACTCCCAAAAACCCAGGACCTTGAGCCCTAAACCCTAAGCCCTAAACCCTAAACCCAAAACCCTAAACTTTAGCCCTAAACCCTAAGCCCTAAACCCTAAACCCAAAACTTGGGCCCTAAACCCTTGCACCCTAATTCCTAAACCCAAAACCCTAAACTTGAGCCCTAAACCCTTGCACCCTAAACCCCAAACCCAAAACCGTAAGCTTGAGCCCTAAACCCTTGCACCCTAAACCTCTAAACCCTAAACCCTAAACCCTAAACTCTAAACCTCTAAACCCTAAACCCTAAACCCTAAACCCAAAACCCTAAGCTTGAGCCCTAAACCCTTGCACCCTAAACCTCTAAACCCTAAACCCTAAACCCTAAACTCTAAACCTCTAAACCCTAAACCCTAAACCCTAAACCCAAAACCCTAAGCTTGAGCCCTAAACCCTTGCACCCTAAACCTCTAAACCCTAAACCCTAAACCCTAAACTCTAAACCTCTAAACCCCAAACCCTAAACCCTAAACCCAAAACCCTAAGCTTGAGCCCTAAACCCTTGCACCCTAAACCTCTAAACCCTAAACCCTAAACCCTAAACTCTAAACCTCTAAACCCCAAACCCTAAACCCTAAACCCAAAACCCTAAACTTGAGCCCTAAACCCTTGCACCCTAAACCTCTAAACCCTAAACCCTAAACCCTAAACCCTAAACTCTAAACCTCTAAACCCTAAACCCTAAACCCTTAACCCAAAACCCTAAGCTTGAGCCCTAAACCCTTGCACCCTAAACCTCTAAACCCTAAACCCTAAACCCTAAACCCTAAACCCTAAACCCTAAACCCTAAACCCTAAACCCTAAACCTCTAAACCCTAAACCCTAAACCCTAAACCGTTCGAAAACGTTCAGGGCCTGAGCCCCTAAACCTTCGGACTCTACTTGGAGGTTCATGGGTTGCTACAAGGGTTCCCTTAAAGGTCTCTAAAGGGATCTATAGGGGTGCTATAAGGGTATAGGGTTTAGAGCCTACTTGGAGGTTCATGGGTAGTTAGAAGTAGGGTTATAAGTAGGGTAACTATATTTGTGGCCGATTTTAGGGGACTTATAACTCCACTTATAACTACCCATGAACCTCCAAGTGGGCCTTCAACCCTATACCCTTATAGAATCCCTATAGATCCCTTTCAAAGGGACCCTTAAAGGAAGCCTTAGGACAGGGATCCCAAACCCGAAACCGGGGCACTTCCGCCCCAAAAACCCTGAAGCAGCAATCCAATGGTAAAGAGGGTACTGTAAGTGATACGGACCCCTAGGTATATACCTTGAATATAGCCATTAAATACCCATTGCATAGCCCATTATAGGGTAGGGGTCCCTATTAAGGGTCCCTCCTTTTCCCCTTTGAAGCAAGCCCTCGCCTTCTCCTCTGCCGCCGCCTCCGCCATGGCTGACCGCAAAACTGGCTGAGAGCCGATGCCACAAAGATGCCAGGATTTTTGCTTGCTTTAGGGTTCTGGGTTTTGGGGAATAGGTCTATCTGGGCTGTGGGTTTAGGGTTTAAGGTTTTGGGGGTTTAGGGCAGGCAGGGATCAAGCAGCTGAACATCTCGACGAGCGCGTTCAAGCTCAACGGCCCCTAAACCCTAAACTCTAAGCCCTAAACCCTAAACCCTAAACCCTAAGCCCTACACCCTAAACCCCAAGCCCTAAGCCCTAAACCCATGCTGTTCTTGTGGTGGCCCAAGGACTCGGGATTGTCGTAAAAAAGGGGCCTCAAAAAGAATAGGGCTCCTTTAAGGGTTCGTTTTAAAGGGGTCTATAAGGACTACTATGAGGGGTATTATGGGAGTTTAGTTTAGGGGCCTGAATAATTAGAAGGGTTCCTTTCAGGGCTCTTTTCAGGGTTCTAAGAGGGATCTATAACAGTTGTCTATGGTACAGGAGCCTTAAAATCTGATATTTAGAATGGGCTCCTTCATGGGGAACTATAGGGTGTAGGTTTTAGTGCTTAGGGTTTGTTTTGGGTTTAGGGATTCCTTCAAGGGGTACTATACGGGTTCATTTTTCAGGGTTGCTTTCAGTGTTCTTGCAAGCGCTACTATAAGAGTTCCTTGAAGGGGTGTTGGCGCTGCCAGTAGCGGTCCGCATGTCGGGTTTCAGGGTAGAGAGGCTGTAAAGACCTGGGGCTTCAGCAAATATGGAAACTTGAGGGTACACGATTTAGGATGTAGGATTTAGGAATTAGGGTTTAGGGATTCGGATTGAAGGATTAGGGTTGAGGGTAATGAAACCTGGGTGGTATACTTTTTTCCGAGTTCTGCCAGCGCTCCATTGTGCCCAGCGATTCGGCGCCGTGCGTAAGAGACAGCCCTAAGACTGGCGGAAACTGACACCGTGGCAGCCGAAGGCCGACAGACCTGGCACTCAACATACAGTAAACCCCATAAAGTTGGATAGTGCTGGGATTCCCTATACATTACTCTTCAGGATCGAGGCTATGGGGTTTCCAACTTTTGGGCTTCTACTGTAGTCCTACACCCTAAACAGAGTGAGGAATAGGGGGACCCTTGGGGGTATAGACAGGGTTTAGGGTTCAGGGTCTCAATAAGGTCCCTTTTAAGAGAGCCAAAAGTAGGGCTAAGAAGGGCTCTCTTTGAGAAGTCTCCCTAATACAACCTACAATTGATGATATAAATCCTGCATTACCCATAATAAGGAAGAGGCCGTCATTCCCATAGTTTAGGGTCATTAAGGTAATGCAGGATTTATATAATCTGAAATACCCCCAAACCCTACGTCCAAAACCCTTCACCCTGAGTAGGCCCTAAGCACTAAAGCCCGTAAGGAGCGGCTTCAGACCTCGCCAACCTGCCTTCAGAGGCTCCATGGAACCTGAAACTAGCGTCAAAAAAATATGTGTATATATATATATATACATAAATATATATATATATATATATATACATATATATATACATATATATATATACACATATATATATATACATATATGCTTACATATACATATACATATACATATACATATATGTATATACATATATATATATATATATGTATTTATTTATCTATATTTGTCATTCCGGATGTCTCAAAACAAGCGGAACAAGGCGAAGAAGCGTTCTTGCAGCCGATGGAGGAACTCTGCGATCTCGCTGCGACCCTTGGGTCCTTACGTCGACACAAAGGCTCCGGCGAACATCGGGATGATCAAAGTCCGCTGCGCTCGGGATCATATGGCGGTTTCCGAAAATTAGGCGTCCCTTATTCAGTGCCCTATATATTGTAGGATCCTTATTATAAGGAGCTCAAAATAAGGTACCCCTTGTTTTTTGGAAACTCCATGCATCATTTCTTTATACGTGGCCTTGAAAAGGTAGGGTTTGGGGGGGTTACAGTATATAGGGCCGTCCCTGAATTCAGTGCTCAAGGCTTACTCTATGGTTTGTGGGATGACGACATTTTCCGGACAAGCGCTGGGGTGATAACATAGTGGCAGCTTTTTGATGTATACACGGTGACCCTAATCATAGGAACAGGAAGATCCATCTGCCGCTAAAAAGCGAAGCCTAAAGCTTACTCCCCGCTAAACCCTACTACGACGACCTAAACCCTGAACCCTCAATCCGAAACCCCAAAGCCTTGACAAAGTTGCCGTGGCACTGACCCTTACCCTAAGGGTCCAAGTGCCTAAGAATCATATACTCTTCAAAATCCTAACCTACATAACTGCTATCCTAAAACCGAGTACCTGATTGTTGGATCCTTTGGACCCTTGGGGTCATAGCAGGCCTTTCTATCCCAGGAGCCTACATCCTCAAAACCTCAAAAGCCCAGAGCCCGATAAAAACTCGAACCTGCAAAAACCTCCTTTACGGGGCCATTGAAACCCCAAACCCTGAACTTAACCCTTGGCGGCTGAGTTCACAAGCCCCCAAGAAGTGTACACTTGCAGTTTATAAGTGGGTAATATTATCCCAACAAGTGTAAAGTGTATCCACTCAGCTACCAAGAACCCCAAGCCTTAAAAAACTAATCCCGTAATCCTAAACCCTCAACCCTACAAGCAATGAGCCCTAAACTCGTACAGATCCCTCAAGCGAATCCACACAGGAACCCTTCAAAAAGCCCTAAACCTTGGACCCGTATAGATCCCTTACAGGAACCCTCCAAAAAAGACCTAAACCCAAAACCTGTATAGATCCCTTAAAAGAATCCACAAAAAGCCCTAAACCAAAGGAGCCTTTAGAACAACCCTCAATTTTCGGCGAACCCTAAACCCGAAGCAAGCCTTGAAGGAACTCTTAAAAAAGGCCCCAATAGAACCCCTCAACCCTGAACCCTTAAAGGACCCGAGACCCCAAACCCGAAACCCTTAAAGGAACCCTGCCAAAAGGGCCTTCCAGTAACTCCAACAGAAGAAAGCCTTTCAAAAGCCCCCACTTTTCTGTTGGACCCGAGCCTCACCGCATCACATCGGGAAGCCGTGGCGGCGGATCTGGCGCGCCTTGGTCTCTTCTTTTGAGCGCCGACTTTACTTTAGGGGTTTAGGGTTTCCTTAAGCCCAAGTAACCTTAAAGGTAGGTTCCTTAGGGCCCAGAGTTCAAGTGTTTAGGGTTTCGGGAGTCGGGCTTGATGGGAGTTTCAATTGGGTTTTTAAAGGGTTTTGTACTTGACAGGGTTTCATAGGGGTTTCGATCGGGTCTTGTTGGGCTTTTGTAAGGCTTTCAAGGTGTTTAAGAGGATCTTGTAGAGTTTTATAGAGCTTTTATGGGGGCTCCGGATTGAGTTTAGGGTTCCTCGATTGTGTCCGTCTATATGGGTTGGGGGATTTAGGGTTTCGCTTAGGTTGGGGTTTCGGCTATACTGAACCTAGAACCCCAGCAAAAATTATATTTTAGCTGTCTCTTAGGGATTATAATAACCAAAAATAAAAACTATTTCTAAGTACCCCCAAGTCGGGGTTAGGGCTCCTTCATAAAGTGGAGGTTCTTCTTGTCCCCCCTGTACGCCCAATGAACCAAATCCATGATGGACTGTGTGGTTTCTTTGACGTGGTATTGGGCCCGGCCCTCCACAAGTCCCTTGAAACCTTCCTCCTTGGGAGCACCAGGCTTCGGGGGCACTGAGTCTCTTGCCGGGACGCAGCCGCAGAAGACTGGGGCCGACAGTGGCACCTGGGCCTCTTGCTGCAATCGCAGCAACAGCTGCATCAGCGAGGGTGCGCCATCGCCCGAGGGTGCCGTCAAGCAGGCGCCGTAGCTGATTGCGGCCGTGCATTTCCAGCCCAAAGTGGTTTCGGCTTCGACGATACCACTTCGTGAACCGGGCGGCAAAAGGCCAAACCCGGTGGAGTCTGCCAGGCAAACACAGCGCATGTTGGCAGCCATGTCGGTTGCACAAGGCTTCAGGGGGTTAGGGATTCCGCGGTTTCAACCTGTACGTCTCAGTTTTGGGCTAGCCCCTGGAAAGGCTGTCGGGCCCGAAAGTTCGAGAGTGTCGGATGCAATACACGGTTCATGAGCCGAGGTGGGGCTCGTTCTTCGATTTGAAAGCTCGCCAGGAATGCAAACTTTGCGAAGTTAAAAGATGTCTATCTCAGCTTAGCAGTCTCACATACGCTGGAAGATGTCTCAGGCTTAGGATTCTGGCTTGAGGCTTGGTAGGATCGAGTGCCACAGGTTTCTGTACGGCTCAGCCCGAAACCCTAGACTCAAGTGATAGGCCGGGTGGGCGGTGCTTAAGCCCTTGGCAATCGAACAAGGCCGAACGACCTATAGGACGCAGCGTTTCATGGCAAACCCTAAACCCTAAACCCGAAGCCATTAAACCCTGAACCCTAAACCCCCTAACCCCTTAAGCCCTAAACCTTAAACCCTGAACCCCAAACCCCCCAAGCCCTTAAACCCTGAACCCTGCAACCGGACACCACGGCACAATTTCCAGAACCCGAAGATGGCTCCCTCACCCCAGAAGGTTGAGGATGTAGAATTGTTCATTTGCGGCCTCACTCGGGTGTAGGGCTTGGGGTTCTATACCCTTGGGGTGGAGACTGTTTCTAAACCGCCGAGAAGCCTGATAAGACCCTTGGAGGGTCGGCGGACTTAGTAAGTAGACCCAAACCCTGAAGTCTAAGTCGAAGCCCTAAACTTAGGAACCCTAACTCCAAACCCTGAATTCTAAGCCCTAAACCCAACAACCCTAAACCCTAAACCCTAAGCCCTAACCCAAGAAACCATAGACCCAAACCCTGAAGGCTAAGCCTAAGCCCTAAAACCAAGAACCCTAAACCCAAAAAGCTTCCAAATCCGTTTCGACTACAGTAAACCCCATTCAGTTGGAAACCGGATTAAGGCCAAATAGAGCTGGGATTCCCTATACATTACTTGTAAGGATTGAAGCTATAGGGTTTCCAACTTTCGGGGCTTCTACTCTAAAACCCACAAGCCACATATCGCTCATTAAGGCCCCTTCATCCCTAAATCCCTTATAGTAGCCCTTATAGAACCCTTTTAAACGAACCCGGCTTCTGATGTATTGCTTTCCGGGCTGCAACGTCGAGATCACGGACCTGTAAGTCTCTCGGCTTGGTTTGTGGCGGCGCGGTTAGGGTTTACGAGATTCTTTTCGGGGGGGTTAGGGTTTAGGAGTTTATGATAATGGTTTAGGAGTTTTTGTGGGAGATTTAGGTGGTTTGGGTTTAGGGTTCAGGGTTTAGGGTTCATGGCCCCGGTTGTTGCATGATGATGATGGTGCTGATGACAACGGCAGTGATGATGATGGTGGTGTTGATGAGGTGGTGCTGGTGATGGTGATGGTGCTGGTCCTGGTGCTGGTGCTGATGCTGGTACTGATGATGACGATAACTATCATTATGGATTTATGAGCATGTTTTGATGACGATCTTGATAATGAAAATGGTAGAACGAAGATGACGTAGATGCCATTGACGACGGTGATGACGTTGATGGCCATGATGACGATGATGACGATGACGCCGGTGATGACAATTGTCACGATGATGAGACGATGATGATGATGATGATGATGATTATGACGCCAGGGTGTCCGCGCTGCGAACTCCTACTCATGTCTGAAGTCTGCTATCAGTATGGCGACGGCTCTTGGTGGTGGTAATAGTAGTCGTCGTCGTAGTCCTACTACTACTACTACTACTACTACTACTACTACTACTACTACTACTACTACTACTACTACTAACACTAGTAACACTACAAACACTACTAACACTACTAACACCACTAACACCACTAACACTACTAACACTACTAACACTACTAACACTACTAACACTACTAACACTACTAACACTACTAACACTACTAACACTACTAACACTACTAACACTACTACTACTACTACTACTACTACTACTACTACTACTACTACTACTACTACTACTACTACTACTACTACTACTACTACTACTACTACTACTACTACTACTACTACTACTACTGCTACTACTACTACTACTACTACTACTACTACTACTACTACTACTACTACTACTACTACTACTACTACTACTACTACTACTACTACTACTGCCACTGCTACTGCTACTGCTAGTGCTACTGCTGCTGCCGCTGCTGCTACTGCTACTGCTGACTGCTACTGCTACTGCTGGTACTGCTGCTACTGCTACTACTTCAGCCACTACTTCAGCTACTACTACTGCTACTACTACTACTGCTACTACTACTACTACTACTACTAACACTAACACTACTAACACTACTAACACTACTAACACTACTAACACTACTAACACTACTAACACTACTAACACTACTAACACTACTAACACTACTAACACTACAACAACTACTACTACTACTACTACTACTACTACTACTACTACCACTACTAGTACTTCTGCTACTACTACTACTACTGCCACTGCTACTGCTACTGCTGCTGCTGCTGCTACTGCTACTCCTGACTGCTACTGCTACTGCTGGTACTACTGCTACTGCTACTACTTCGGCTACTACTACTACTACTACTACAACTACTGCTACTACTACTACTACTACTAGTACTACTACTGCTAAAACTACTAACACTACTCACACTACTAACACTACTAACACTACTAACACTACTAACACTACTAACACTACTAACACTACCTAACACTACTACTACTACTACTACTACTACTACTACTACTACTACTACTACTACTACTACTACTACTACTACTACTACGACTACTACTACTACTACCACTACTAGTACTTCTACTACTACTACTACTACTACTACTACTACTACTAAACTACTACTACTACTACTACTACTAAACTACTACTACTACTACTACTACTACTACTACTACTACTACTACTACTACTACTACTACTACGACTACTACTACTACTACTACTACTACTACTACTACTACTACTACTACTACTACTACTACTACTACTATTGCTACTACTACTACTACTACTACCACTACTAGTACTTCTACTGCTACTACTACTACTACTAATTATTACTACTACTACTACCACCACTACTACTACTACTTTCACGACTTCATTCCAACATTTCTGAGTCTACTACGTGTACTACGTTTGGTACTCGTACTACCTCTACTAATTACTTCTACTACTGCTACTACTGATGAGGATCTAATCAATATCATTCTTGCTGCTGCTTTCATGTGCGTCCGTCATTCCTACTGAGCAGACGACCTCCTGACAAGTATACACAACGGGCAGGAAAGGGAACCACGAGCGCTGCTGGTCGTATGGACGTCTTGCTCTGACGCCTCAAAGCCTCAAACCTCAAGCCCTCAACCCCGAAAGCCATCCAAAGCCCTAAACCCACACACTTGACCTCAAAACCCTATAGAACCCTTGTTGAGCCCTCATCGAACCAATTTTTGGTTGATGCAACGGCCCAATGAATCATAATAGCGCTTTTTGGTACATTTTGGCAGCATCATAACGGGACTACACCGGGAAAACTACTTGTTGCTAGATATCCAATCCGCCCACAGGAATTTACCCCCGCTCTTGAAGGATCTTAACAGCATAATCTCTACTGCAACCCTTCCTTTCACTTGCGCAAGAATCCTCAAACTCCCAAACCCACGACCCCAAAAAACCTTACAGAACCGCGCCCGTTCCACGTATGGGACCCTGAGCAAGGTCTTGGAAATCCTTGAAACACCGTCTAAACAATCTGCGAGAACCCTACTCTCACCCTACGTCGCCTGCAGCATAGCCGGGTTTTGCTGGTCGTCTTGTCTCAGGGACGTTGCCTCCCGGCGCCGGGCTCCAGCATCGCGTGGTTGATATTACCGGGCTGGACAGGGGTTTCGATAGAGCTGTCGTAGATGTTATACAGCTTTAAACGCCCTAAACCCTGAACTCTAAACCCTAGACCCTAAACCCTAAACCCTAGACCCTAAACCCTAAACCCTAGACCCTAGACCCTAAACCCTAGACCCCAAAAACCTAACCCCGCTGCTATTGTGTTTGACAAGATGCCTTGGTGATTCGACTCAGGCTTAGGGTTGAGGGATTTAGAGTTTCGGCTTTAAGGCTCTGGGCCTTGAACGGTTAGGGATTTAGGGCTCCTTTAAGGGCTCCTTTAAGGGATCCTTTAAGGGATCTATAGGGTTTAGGGTTTAGGGGTTTAAGGGTTTAGGGTTTAGGGTTTAGGGGTTTAGGGTTTAGGGGTTTGGGGTTTTGGGGTTTTGGGTTTCGGGGTTTAGGGCTGACGGCCTAAGACTGGAAACCCTTGGCTTGTCACTGGAGTGAACATCCGTGGCGTACTGGAGCAAGTACTGCAGACATCCTTAACAGAATGATCTGAGGTGTATTGCCACCCTCAACCCTAAGCCCCCCGACCCCTAAACCCAAAGCCCTGAAGCCTACTAACCCTAAACCCTACACCCTAAACCCTAAACCCTAAACCCTACTAACCCTAAACCCTACACCCTAGACTCTAGACCCTCAACCTACGTATTGCCTCAAAGTTCTTAGCGGCTCTGGGTGGGTGGTTTAGAGCTCCCAGTGTTAGGGTTTAGGGTTTAAAGTTTTGGGTTTAGGGTTTAGGATCAGGCCGTCCAGACATCAAAGGGTTTAGGGTCTAGGGCGCAGAGCTTCAGGCTTAGGTTTAAGGGCTGAGGATGTAGGGTGCAGGTTTTAGGGTCAACGCAATGTCTGGCTTTCCCATCACATTACAAGCTCCCTGTGCCGGATGTAATTCTCACTCCTTCACCTTTTCATTTTCTATTCCTGTCGTCCTTTCCCACGCATCTGCCAAGTCATTCGCACAGAGGAAGCAGGGGCCTTAGCCTGAAATGATTGCTGGTGGGGCTCACTTATCATATCCGGCATCATCGTGTCCGTTAGCATGACAAGTGTTTCACAAGTGCCCGTTTGTTAGTGCATGCGTACGTATACATGTACGCATGCTTGCATGTATGTACATGCATGCATGTATTTACTTATGCGTAAGAGTATGTATGTGTGGATGGATGGCTGGCTGGATGTCTGGATGGCTGGATGGCTGGATGGCTGGATGGCTGGATGGCTGGATGGCTGGATGGATGGATGGATGGATGGATGCAGAGAGGGAGGGACATGCATGCAGGGAGGGCGGGAGGGATGGAGGGATGGAAGGAGGGAGGGAGGGCGGAAGGGAGGGATGGCTGGATGGCTGGATGGCTGGATGGCTGGATGGCTGGATGGATGGATGGATGGATGGGCAATTCCTTTCGAATGTCTAGTCACACGCAAGTCAGCTACCAGGTTCCTGAGCAGCCCCGTCATAACAAGGGTTCCCTTTTTCCTCATATTATTTTTTAATAAGAAGATCCTAACATTAAACGGGCAAAAGGGTACCACTCAGGAACCTAGGCTAAGCGTCGATTTCAGCAGCTCCCGAAGTTGTTCACAGCTAGGGCTCCGTCGTAGTAAAACCATAAAGTTGAAAATATATGCCCTAAACGCTAAACCCTGAACCCCAAACCCTAAACCCTCAAACTCAGATCGAGACTCAGTAGGTGCTTTGCTACAGCCGCCAGCCCGGGAGACTCCACCGGCCAATCCCGTGGAGCACAGCGTAGAAATGCGCAAGGCTCAACACTCTAATTAATCTAGGGGCCTTCATAATTAGAATAGGCTTTTGGGGTATATGAGACTCTAATTGTAATAAGGAGCCCCCAAAAGAGTATAGGCAATGATTCAGGCACCTATATTACAGAAATGCTTGAGTGTCAGGGTTTAGGGTAGGGTTTAGAGTCTTCGGTTTAGGGCTTAAATCTGGGTTTGGAGTCATAATTATACCAGGTGAATTCCAGAAATGCGTTACGTTGCCTCCGGCTGCGTTAGATTTCCCTGGCAGCTTGAAAGTCGCACCTCGTTGCTGGCCTCACCGCTGTCCTCCGAGATACGTGAAAAATGTGATTTAGGGTTTATTGTTTTGGGTTTAGGGTTTAGGGAAGCTCCTAACTACAGGCTCCTTTCGAAAAACACGAGGCTATGATTGTGCGTTTGGGGCTTCACGCGTCGCTTCGGGAGGTGGCTGTTGGTTGTGGGATTCAGTCCTGGGCTCTCGGCTTAGACGGATTTCGGTGTCTTCTTGGGTCTCAGGGTTTGGGGCGTAACGCAGAAGCCAGAAAGTTGGAACATCATTCTCTCATGGCCCTAAGATGAGGCGCAAGGAATCCCAGCACGAATCGTCATTCATCCATGTTCCAACTTTCTGCTCTTGTTAGTGAAATTACTTTAAGTTACCATAATAGGGATCTATAGCAAATACTATGGTTCCTTTATAACGGTGACCTAAATAAGAAATCCTTAACAAGAACCTTCGCCTGGGTTTAAGACTTCAGGCTCTCAAGTTGGAGGGTCCTCCCTCTCTAGGGTGTTTAGGGCTTAGGGTGTTTAGGGCTTCGGGTTTAGGGTTTGGGGCTAGGGTTTCATTTTTTTTAAGGTTTCTATGTTTGTATGTGCCTTCCATGGGGCTTTTAGAACGGTGTATAAGGGCTTAAAGCATGTATGGCTTTCCATTTGGATTCGGGCTTTAGTCACTAATTGCGGCGCGGCGCTCAATGGTAGTTGTCTTGGACATTCAGATTTGGGGGTTTGCATGTTTGTTCAAGAAACGACATTGTGCATTTGACGTTCCTTACGGGGTTCCCTTAAACCCTAAACCCCAAACCCCTAAACCCTCAACCCCTGAACCCTAAACCCTAAACCCCCAAACCCTAAACTTTCCTAAACCCCCAAACCCTTTTTACTAATCACGTTAAAGCTCTGTGGGCTTCCTTTAAGGATCCCTTGAGAGGTTTCTGCAAGGATTCCTTCCAGGGCTCCTTTACAGGTTCCACGGGCGGGTCTCCTCTGAGGGTTCTACAAGGGGTTGGGCATCAGGCGTTTAAGGTTTTCCATGCCGGCCCGTTCATGCTTGAGGAAGAGTTTAGGGTGTAGGGTTTAGGGGTTTAGGGGTTTAGGGTTCTACAAGGGGTTGAGGGTTAATTTTTTTTGGAGTTTCGGACTTTCATGCCGGCCCGTTCATGCTTGAGGCTGATGGCTTTCGGGATTAGGGCTCCCTTGGCAGATGATGACAAGGCGGAACTCTCACATCTTTGTTACTGTAGGAACCTGATTAAGAAGCCTTGGGCCTTGATCGGGGTTCCTTTAAAGAGGTCTATAAGGGTGACTATACAGGATCCATAAGGGTAGTATAATAATGTAGGAACCTGATTCAGAAACCTTGGGCCTTTCTTCGGGCTCCTTATATGCATCCTACTGTTTTGGGGGTTAGAGGCCCAGGGTTTCTTAATCAGGTTCCTTCGTTACACCATCGCTTGACCCCATCCCTCTTGCAGTCATGTCGGGGCATGGAGTCCATCCTGAAAAAGTATGAACCGTAGACAGCTACCCAGAGAGCCCAGTACCCCTTAATTAAGCTATATGCCTTAAACCATTAGGGGCTTCATATTATGACTTAAGCTAGATTCCTTATTTAAGCGGTATTGGGCTCTCAATATAGATCCCTTTAAAGGACCACTTATAGATCCCTTTAGAATCCCTTATAGATCCCTTTAAAGGAACCGAGGTACAGGAACCTCAGAAGACCCTATCAACAATCTGCGCAGCGTGTCCGGCTCAAGAGGCTTTGAGTTTGACGTCACCGGTTCCTCAGCATGAGGTTTAGGGGGTTAGGGGTTTAGGGTTTAAGGGTTTAGGGTTGAGGGTTTAGGGGTTTAGGGTTTAGGGGTTTCGGAGTTTAGGGATATGGGGGTTTAGAGGCTTGCGTACTTGGAGGTCCATGGGTAGTTATAAGTCGGGTTATAAGTCCCCTAATATGGCTTATACGTATAGCTACCCTACTTATAACTCTACTTATAACCACCCATGAACCTCCAAGTAGGCCTTAAACCCTATACCCTGAAAGAACCCCGAAAGATCCCTTTCAAGGATCCCTTTAAGGGAACCCTTATAACCACCCATGAACCTCCAAGTATGGACCGACAGCCCTAAACCGCTCTGCCCCCGAACTCCTCTAGAGCCGAATCCTCCCGGGGCTGTTTGACGCTTACCCTAAACCCGAAGTAAACCCTGAACCCCTAAGCCCTAAACCCTAGACCAGTAACCAATAGACCCTAAACCCCAAAGCCCTAAACCTTAAAGCCCTAAACCCCTAAAACCCCAAACCTTAAACCCCGAAACACCTAAACCCTAAACCCTGAACCCTGCTGCTTTTAGAGGGCCCGGGATCTGAGAATTGAAGGCTCATAGTCGCTGGACCGACACCCAAAAAACCGATCCCTAGACTGCAACAGAGAACCCATTTGAAGCCCTAAGCCCTAAACCCTCTTCACCTTTAGGGTTAAGAGTTTAAGGCCTAATTTAGGGCTTAAGGCTTTCGGGTTTGAGTCTTTTAGGGTTTAGTGTTTAAGGCCTAGTTTAGGGATGAAGGGTTTGAGTCAAAAGTGTCGGGCACCCTTCAGTTGAAGGAGTGTTCCTTATACAGGGCATCGCGCTGGCATTTCCTGGGCCGTGCCCCCGCCGTCATTGTCCTCTGATGCCTGTGGCACCGCCGCATCCGTGTGCGTGGCCGTCGGCGATGGCGGGGGAGGCGGGTACTTGTCCATGGCGAGGTACCCATCAGCATTGGAGTAGGACTCCCACGCATACTTAGAGGATCATGGGACTTAGTAAGTAGGTTATAATTGGGGTTATAAGTTCCCTAAGTGGGGTTATCCTAATTATAACCTACCTATAACCTTACTTACTAAGTCCCATGAGCCTTCAAGTAAATCTTATATGTAGCGGAGGTGTCGACCACACGTGCGGAGCTCAGCGGCCAGGTAGAATTTGGCCCAGACTGCTGATCTCTCCCACGAGCCTAGGCCCTGCCATTCCTCGGTGGTCGTCAGTGGCTCCGCAACCAGGGAGCCATTGTTGTTGCCAAATTTGTCAGCGGAGCTGCGAAAGATTTCCGTTTAGGGTTTAGACGGTTTAGGGCCTAGGGTTTAGATGGGTTTAGGGTTCTGGCCTAGAGCCGAATCCCCATATCCTGAAAACCTCCCAACCCTAAAACCCCGAAGTCTGAAGTCCTAGGCTAGAGAAGTCGCTTCAAATTTGTCCCAGGCTTTTTGTCCGTGCTTTGTATTGATGCGTTGGGGCAAGGGTTTAGGGTGTAGGGCGCCTTGATGAATCAAACCGGGTTCTGGTGTGTGTTATGCTACTACCATCTGGGGACTAGAAGAGGAAATATCACTCATCACTCAGAAGCCTTTTGAACTGAACAGACGAAGGTGCAGTGATGCAGACGAAGCTTGGGATCTGGAGCTTGGGGTTCACGTATGGTTGCCAATAATGAGCTACGATATCGGTTCAGAGGCTTGGAGTTTAGGGTTTTGCGGGCTACGGGTTGAGGCTTGAGGGTAGGGTGCGAGGTCTGGGCTTGACTGCTAAGGATTTTGAGTGTGGATTGAGGGTTTAGGGGTCCTGGCTATGGCGAGGAGAGGATGACGACGTCGGACAGGGACACGGTTACGGTCCTTGCCAGCTTTCTGGCTTTCGAGCGCGGCCGTGTATTCCTTCATGAGGAAGTAGACCCCCAGGAACAAGATCTTCAGCTCCATTTGAAGCATGGGGTCGTGGTAGCAATCGTAGGCCAGCTGCTGATTGGAACTGTACTTCGCTTTGAGGTCTGCTAGCTCTTGCTTTGTTTTGGGCCGGGCGACACCAGCCGATTCATCAACTCCAGTGGCTTGTCTTCCTGGAATATCATTGAAATTGAGTTGGAAACAACACCTTTGCCCCGGCCGGGCGCGCGGGAGACAGAAAGAGAGGGAGGAAAAATGTGAGAGACATGACAGGTTGCAAAATAGTCGAACAGGAAACATTGGTCCGCCTTCTATCTCTGATAGCGGGTTCGACGATTTGTAAGAGTGCGCTGGTGCTCGTCATGATCGTCATGTCGTAATGCCTATGTACACATAAACACATATGAACCCCTAAACCCCTGGACCCCTAAACTAGTTCCTGGTTGGGATAGGATTAAAAATCTACAAGTTTATTCCTTATTGGGTTCAAGTACCCATAAAAATGTAAAATATTAACTAACTATGACAAAGAAAACTCTAAACCCTAAACCCCTGAACCCCTAAACCTGCAGAAAACCTCCGTCTGAGGCCGCCACCACTGTGCCGGCCTCGAGGGAAAAGGCTCTCGGGCATCGGGGTTGGAAAAGCAAAACACGATGTCTGGTTCAGGACTTACAGTTCCTTTAAAGGGATCCTTTAAGGGTTCCTTAAAGGGATCCATAAGGGTTCTATAAAGGGTTTAGGGTTTAGGGCTTACGGAAAAAGCCCAAAAGTTGGAAACCCAATAGCCTCAATCCTTAAGAGTAAGGCATATCGGGAATCCCAGCACGAATGGTCCTAAATCCCGTTTCCAACTTCATGGGTTCTGCCTCTAAACCCTAGAGATCCCTTAAAGGAACCCTAAAGATCCCTTATAAAGGAACCCTAAAGGATCCCTTATAAAGGAACCCTGAAAGTCCCTTATAAAGGAACCCTAAAGGTCCCATAGTTGTCTACTGGGGGCTCTTGAGGACCTAGGGTTGGGGCCTCAGGCCATGATGATCCAGCAACGTGCATCTTGCTTCCTTGTAAGTAGCAATACCTAGGATACCCAGTAACCTAAGACTAAAAAGGCCTCTCTTTTTGGTATTGGGTAACTTTATAAGGAACCTAGGACTACAAAAAGGGAATAAGGGTACTACTGGGCATCCTAGTAGTGGTTGTGTCTTACACACCACGCCCGCCGCGAAACCGCTCTGTTCTCCCGCATGATTGGAAGTAGAATGCTCACAGCCATGGCTGGTTTCACCTTTAGTTGATCGATGATTTCCCGCCAGCTCGGGTCTCCAGAAGTCTGAAATGTTGCCAAAGATGCAGGCATTCGGATCTAGCAATGCCAATTCCGACTGGCACTCCTTGTCGTACTCCACGAAATTTGTCACTTGCGGGTAGGGCACCTCTAAGGTTTGGGGCCCAAAGGACCTACATTTTCAAGGATCTATATGGATGGTTGTCAAAATTAGGGTCCTTTTTTGGGTCCTTATTTTAATACGGCACCTCATATCTAGGGTACCCAAAAAAGGACCCTAATTTTGACAACCACCCATCTACATAACGTCAAAAACTCAGAATAGGGAGCCCTAAAACAGGAAGGCTTTTTGGGGTCCAGGTAGGGCTTGAGGATTTAGGGTTTAGGGTTTTATCGCTTGCGACTCGACACCTGGATGAAACTCTCTCTAGGAGTATTCGTAAACCCCTAAGTCCAATAAGAGAAAAGTATAAAAATGTTCAACAAGCCTACCTTGAGCCCTAACCTCCACCCCTGAACCCAAAAAGACAAAAGTATAAAAGCTCCCAAAGCTACATAGTCAAGCCGAAAGCCTCTCTAGCCTAACCTCCCAAACCCTCAACCCTGAAACCTAAACCTTTCGAATCCTAAACCCTCAACCCCAAACCCTTCCAACCCTAAACCTGATGGGAGGCCAAAAGGGGGGTTTAAGATTCTTAGGGTATGGGATTCCTTAATATGAACCCGATTATGGCAACCCTAATCCCTACTAAACCCCCATAGGAAAAAACCCTTTTGGCCTCCTATGAAAAACCCTAACCCTACTGTTGATTATATATAAATCCTGCATGACCCATAATTAGGAATATACCATAATTCCCATATATTCCTTATTATGGGTAATGCAGGATTTATATCATCAACCGTAACCCCGACTGGGGCTTAGAGGAGCAGCCTTCCGAAAACAAAGTCCTGAAGAACCCTAAACCCAAACCCTACAGTGCCTAGAGCTTGGGGTTTAGAGCTTTTAGGTTAAAGTTTTCGGGTTGAGGGTAGGATCTTCAGTCTAAGGTTTTGAGATTGAAGGGTTGAATTCGGGCTCGGGGCCCAAATCTGCAATGCAGACCCCTCATAAATAGTCTAGGTTCCTGAGTAGCCCCGTCATAATAAGGGTGCCCTTCTTCCTCATATTTTGTTGTAGTAAGGGGACCCTAAAATTAAACGGTCAACAGGGTACTACTCAGGAACCTAGTGGTCCTAAACCCTAAACCCTAAACCCCAAACCCTAAACCTTAAACCCAAAACTCTAAACCCTAAACCCCAAACTCTAAACCCTAGTGTAGGCTTTAGGACAACAACAGGCACCCCAAAGTTGAAGCCCGTCACGACCGGGGCGCTTCGTCAGTCTAGGGTTTAGGGTTTAGGGTTTAAGGGTTTAGGGTTTAGGGTTTAGGGTTTAGCGGTTTAGGGTTTAGGGGTTTAGGGTTTAGGGGTTTAGGGTTTAGGGCTTGAGAAGGATATGGGTAGTTTTCTGAGTCAGGGTCTCATTTAGGCACCCTTTTTTCAAGGGTGCCGCCTTGTTTTGGGCTTCTAAAAGGGAGCCTAATTAGAACTCAATAAAGCTCTATGGTCCCTTACAGCGCCTTCCCACGAGTAAGGGGTCTACAGCGCCTATCCCAAAACGCAAGCCCAGCGAAGCCTCGCCCTTGTCGGTCGGAAACTGCTGCCTGCCCATAGAACCAAACCCCTTAACTGAGGATATTGTCTCAAAAGCTCGCTGTCGTGGGGGAGGGAGGGAGGGAGGGAAAAATACATTATTGTATAATAAGTGTAGGTATACGGATGATGAGATCTGCATCATCATCATCATCATCATCACATCAGCGGGGGAAAACAGAAGCAATAACAACGACAGCAATAATGCGGAGAACGCTAAAGCACCCCTAAGCTGCTATCGGCTGGCCCATGTCCAACAGCACACGAAACCTCTCTCCACTTCAGCCTTCAAACTTCTCGTTTGGAATTTATGTTTGCTTCTACCACCAGGGCTTGCACCAGAGGCTGTTTCGCTCATGCTTGCCCCAGAAGCTACATCTCCCTAAACCCTAAACCCTAAGTCCTAAACCCTAAACCTACATCTCATGGCATAAGCCCCAATGCCCAATACGTATAAAAAAGATCAACCCAGAAACCCTAAACCCTAAACCACAGACCCAAAACCCAAAGTTCTAAACCCCGAACCTATCCAACAAAACGAAGGAAGACCTTCCCTCCTAAACAGAACCCTAACACAGCGGCCTTAATAAATAGGATAGGGCTTGGGATATCGGGTTAGGGTTACAGTTACGGGCTGGTATGTTATACTCGAATTAGAACAGAAACCCCAAGAAACAATCTTGTGAATTATTCAGTCTTCTATATCAACAGACGCGGCAAGGGGCCTCTCGAGGTCCAGCTTGTCCCAGAGGCCAGCTGGGTCGGCTGTGTGGTGTTGCTTGTTTTGGTCTTACAGTAGAAGCCAGAAAGTTGGAATATCATTATCGTAGCCCCTTTAAGGTAAATTATAGGGTATCCTACCATTAATACATATTCCAACTTTCTGGAGTTCCCTTTAGTGGGTTTGAGGCCGGGGCGACGGGTATCTGGCTTAAACCATGATTCGACCTAGACCCTGAAACCCCCAACCCTAAAGCCCTTGCGTTTTGGGCTCGGGGTACACGGACTCGAAGTTGCGCTTTTTGTGCTTGGACTTCGGGTGAGTTTGAGGGAAAAGCTTACGGTTTGGGCTTGAGGCTGTGAGGTTTAGGGTGGAGGGTTTAAGGGTTTAGGGTCTAGAGCTTGAAGGTTTAGGCCCGCTGAGGCTATTGCTTAGACTGTTTTCTAGTTACTCGTCTGACTTGAGGAGTTCGAGCTGATGCTTTACGGTTTGGGTTTGAACTATAGGGCTGAAAATCTGGAAGATGGTCCAACGCTGCTCTCTGAGTTGTGTAAAAGGTTTGTTTGAGCAGCCTTTATTGGCTTTGGCTTTTTCAACTCACGATTTCAAAAGAATCAAAGAGGTGAGCTGGAGGCTCTGCTGGTTCCTCAATCTTCCTTACGGGGAGCTACTTGAAGGCTCATAGGACTTAGTAAGTAAGGTTATAAGTAGGTTACGATTAGGATAACCCCACTTAGGGGACTTATATCCCCAATTATAACCCACTTACTAAGTCCCATGATCCTACACTTCATGTAGGGGTGGTCTTAAGGGTCTCGAGCCTCGAGCCATCTGGTTCAAAAAGCTTTGGGGTTAGGGATGGAGCCGAAACCCTCTGCTCACCAATGCGCGCCCCGTCTAGTTCCTGGCACATCTGGTGCAGTGCATGTACCCGCAATCCGGGCACTGCCAGGCTTTGCGACGCCTCTCGCCGGTGAACTGGCCGACGGCGCAACTGCCGCTGGGCCTGTCGTATGCCAGCACTGCTACTCGCTGCTGCGGTCCTCCCAGATGTTCATCTGGACATCCCAGTTGGGTTGAGGACAGCATTCTGGCGACGCTTTTTGACCTTTAGCAGCCTTGCACGTAGGAAGGCCCACCCCTTCTTAAGCTTACGGTGTACACCGGCTCGGCCGGGTCCGCTGCGTCGGCTGAGGCACGCCCTCCTGCGGCGGTGGAGGGGCTGACGCCTTTGCCTCAGCGGCGCCACTTACTTCAAGAAGCCTCGAAGCCTCTCTCTCAACTCTTCTCGTTGCTGCCTATACTGTACTCACCCAAGGAATAGTATCGCTAAGTCCCTAATGTTGCGTGTTTGTTAGCCTAGCTGTAGCTTTTCCGGCCCTCTAGTGGCACTACATGCTTTTACGGTTTGGGGTTTAGAGGTTTGTAAGCAGATGATGTAAGAATACATCTAGAGGCTGTAAGTGCAAAAACCGTTCGGGATGCTGCATCTACCGTGGCCAGGTTCGGGGTTAGGGTTTACTGGGTCCATTTTCTGAATTTAATTTCATTATCATTTCATTATCTTAATTAGGAATCTCGGGTAAATACTATGGTTTCTTTATTCTTGTAATTTGAACTAAATCCCTTAACAAGAACCCAGTTTATGGCTTATAGTTCGGACTGGGGGGGTCTTGGCTTAGAGCTCAGGTTTAGGTTAGGGTTTGAGGGTTTGGAGGCTTGAGGGTGTAGGGTCTACGGTTTAGGTGTTGAGACCTTGCAGTAAATACTCTAAACCCCAAACCCCTGACCCGTCATCCCTGACCACTCCTAGATCCCCCGTATAGCCCTAAACCCTAAACCCTAAACCCTAAAACCCTAAAACCCTAAACCCTAAACCCTTAAACCCTAAACCCTAAAACCCTAAACCCTAAACCCTAAACCCATAAGGAATCCTGCCCCCAGGCCCCTTCTAGACCCGAGGATGCCCCAAAAAAAGAAAACATCAAAGCAGCGTGCCTTCATCTGTCATTAGATCCCTAAAGGCTCCTTATCTACAAGGGCCCCAATCTATGTGGGTTTAGGGTTTGGGGCAAATGTGGGACTTGGGGTCGTGGGTAGCTTGGGGTATAGGGCCTTCAGAATAAAGATGGAAGGGCTTCGGGATGTAGAGTAGGAGGTTCATAATAGGGTTTAGGGTTTAGGGGTTTAAGGTTTAGGGTTTAGACTATACCCTAAGGCTCCAAAGGAGCCAATAATTAGGTACTCGGTTTGAGGATAGTAGCTATGTAGGTTCCTGTTTTCCGAACCGTATGGAAGGGTAATATAGGGGCCTTGAGACTCGGAATAGGGTTTTGGCCCCGAAATCGTAAAGGTAATTGAGGCCCCCTACATTACTACTAGTTGTGCAGGCTTCTGCTTGTGACCTATATAGAAGCCCGGAAACACAACACTAAACCCAAAACCTGAACCCCAATAGTGACCCCGATACTACCGAAAACCCCAAGAATGCCACAAAGCAGATTTGCCAGCCAGAGCGCTGCCACATTTCGCGTCCAGTTCTTCCTCAGCATTTAATTTCCAAAGTCTAGGGTCATTAAGGTAATGCAGGATCTATACCATCAACCCCAAACCCTAAACCCTACCACCACTACAGCTCCCTTAAACCAACGGAATCCTTAAAGGTACCCCTATGGACCCCTGAACGGGGCGGTTGGGGTTTGGGGCTGTGGGTTTTAGTTTTAGGCTTCGGGCTTTCGGAATTAAGCTACTATTTGCTTAAGAACCCCCAAAAAATAAAAATATATTCCTTATGGAGGTCATATAGGGGTTATTTTTTTTAATTTTTTTGGTGGGTTCTTAAGCAAATAGTAGGAAGGTTCAGGGCCCAGTATGCCCAAGATCCCTTTCATTAAGGACCGAGGCATTAGGGCTCCTTGAAGGGATCTATAGGGTTTAGGGTTTCGGGGGGCTCCCATACCCCCTAATTAAGGAATAGAGCTCAAATCACAATCTGAAGCCCTTACATAATGATTTGAGGTATATTCCTTAACCCTAAACCCTAAACCCTAAAATTAAGGGGTATTGGGCTCTCTTAGGGTTTTGGCTTTACAGCTTGGGGCTCCGGAATAGATGCTCAGGGCCGAGAATCCAACGTTTCGGGCTTAGAGTCTGGGGTTTAGGGCTTATGGCTTGGCGTTTTCGGTTTAGGATTTTGGGTTTAGGGTTTAGGATTTAGGATTTAGGTTTTAGGGTTTAGGATTTTGGGTTTAGGGTTTAGGGTTTTGGGTTTAGGATTTTGGGTTTCGGGCTTCGGGTTTAGAGGCTGGGGTCGGACTGTCGCGGTGCAGTACTACTCAGGACAGGTGTTAAATGCCCCTGAACCTTGATCCACTACGGCCCCTATACTAAAACCAGATAATTGCCACTTTTCTAGCCTTCATAGGAACCCTTTAAAGGAACCCTACTCTAATTATTGAGGCCCGTATGTTCACAGACCCCCAGCAAACAGCGAAAAAGGCTCGACGTAGACAGCTGATCGCAAGCCAACATGCCACAAAGGCCAAGGCCCAAACGCCCCAGCCTTGAACCTAAACCGGTTTAGGGTTTAGGGCCTAGGCCCTAAACCGTAAACCTAAAATTCTGCAACGAACAACAAAAGCCAACAAGCGGCCAGTACAGAAGCTTGAGAAGAATTCTCAAGAGTGGTCCTGAGGGCTCCGAGTTTAAAGTACACTCTAGCATACCCTAAAACCCTATCATAATAACCACAAGGCCGCAAAACTAGCCGGTAGACCCCATCCCGAAAGTCTTTTCGGCCTGGAATTGTAAGATCTAAACCGCTGATTTATTGCCCCGCTCCCTTCATGAGGATTATACTCGAGATGAAGAAGGGGAGCCCGTCCCTGAGCACCAAACAGGGGTCTGCATCAGAGACCCTCGATCCTGCAAAACTATAGCAGCCTGAATATTTTACAGGACTCTTACGGGGGTCCTTATGAATAAAAAAGGATGATATAGCCAAGACCTTATTTGACAATACTATTCCGTAGGGTTTCTTGTAAATAGAACAAACATACTATGATATACATCAACACCTTGTTCTAGTCATTAAGGCCCCTGTATGAAATCCTCATCAGAAGCCGGGAGGCCAGGTTGCCACTCTCCCTCGCCGCCATCTCCAAGTCCTGCACAAAGTCTCAGCGGCATTTGGGTTTGAGGTTTTGAACCCGAAGACCCTAATGTAGAGGACTTAACAGCTAGAATAGGGTTTGGGGATATGGCATGCTAACAGAAACATAACAGGCCTATAACGGGATACTGTTACCATGCATTCCTCGTAAACCCCTTGACAGAGCACCAGATTAAAGGCTTTGGACGAAGGATGTAGTGTTTTGCCAGCATAGGACTCAAAAACAAAGATGTGGATTCTAGGCCCAAACCCTTAGCCCTAAGCCCTAAAGCCTAAGCGCTAAACCTTTGTCCAAGGACGCGCGGGCTGAAGCTGAAGTTCAGATGGCTTAACAGAAAACCGGGAGCTGGCTGATAGGGTTTAATGTTTAGGGTTTAGTGTTAGGAGTTTAGGGTGTAGGGGTTATAGGGTTTCGGCGTTCCGGGTTTAGGTTTTGGAGGTTTAGGTTCAGAATCCCTAAACCCTAAACCCAAACAGGGTTTAGGGTTCGCAGGTCGCCGCAAGCATGAATTTCAACCTTGGGCTTCAGTAAGCGAGGCAAGCTCAAGGGTGTAGAACAAGTTCATACCTGCCTTAGCATAACAACATGACATAATACGACAAAATATAATCTAGTTCAACGTGCTGTACCATACTATACTGTACTATACTGCATACACTACTATAGTTACTTTACTGTACTATACAAGAAAACATTATCAAAAAATAGAAAATGAGGAGGAATAACACTGTTAGCTGTGTTTGATCCACTGCTGCAAAAAAGCTGGGCCCAAGGGGAACTTGACATGAGAGCCCAAACGAATGAACTGAACAACCTGGCGGTGGCTCAGGCAGTATGAGGGTCTTCATGGTTATAAGCTCTCAGGACCAGAAGGAAAAGTCTTAGTAACCATTCAGGCTTCTTCATATCATATGCCAGAGGTGCTGCACACCCCGAAACCGCGCTGCATTCTTCTGCCGACAGAGCATTGCGATTGAGGGGTTTACCCTAATACTCCATGTACCCTTATAGTATATACTTAGGCTTTGAGGTACCTACATACGGACCCCTTTAAGGCTTAAGTATCTACCATCTGGGTACGGCTCCCGCACAGTAACAGTCTATAATAGGGCTACTATTAAGGGCCTTATATATGTGTATTATGAATATTATCCAACTGTTACTGAGTGGGGGCCGTACCCAAGCTTCCATGTACCCATATAATATAGAGATACATGAGCCCCAAAGTATCTACATAGGGACTACATTAAGGCCAGTGTATATACTCTATGAGATACATTGAACCCTTAGTAACTACCTGGACCCTTAGGAACCTACCTTTTTAAGGTTCCCTAATATGATTTCTTTATATAAGTCCTTAAAAAGGTAGGTTACTTGGGGTTAAGGTAAACCATAATGGTACATGGAGCCTTTGGGTTCTGAGAGGCGGCCAAATCTATGGGCATGGGTTTTGTTTTAGGGTTTAGGGTTAAGGGGGTTTAGGGTTTAGGGTTTAGGGGGTTTAAGGGTTTTGTTTTAGGGTTTAGGGTTTAGGGGGTTTAGGGTTTAGGGTTTAGGGGGTTTAAGGGGTTTAGGGGGTTTAGGGTTTAGGGGGTTTAGGGTTTAGGGCAAGTCGCGTTTCAACATGCCTGACCTACGGAAAGTAGGGGCATCAGCAGGCGATTCACATGGCTTTCGACTTCCAAGGTACGACTACTATTAGGGGCCTTCACAATTAGAATAGGGTTTTGGTACTACAAGCAGAACCCCTAAGAATAATATTGGTAGCTACTCAAGTTTCTATAGGAGCCAATCAGTCTGAGTAGGGCCCAATGAGTGCCTCAGGTTTGGCTTAGGGGTTGGTTGTCAGGAGAAGTCGACGGCTTAGGATTTGGGGGGTGTCAAAATTAGGGTCCCTTTTTGGGTACCCTAGATAATAGGTGCCGTTTTATATTACGGATCCAAAAAGGGACCCTAATTGTGACAACCGCCCATTTAGGTATTACCATTCAATATCTCAAGCAAGCTTTGGGGCGTAGGGCTTCAGCCTAGGGTACAGGGTGGTTGGATTGAAACTCTAGGCTCAAACTCTGCAAACATATTCGGTCTATTAGGCACCCCGAGCCAAGAGAAATAGATGCTAAACCCGGAACCCTCAGTTTCAAATCCTGAGATCAGAGCCCTAAAAACATTTCATCAAACATAACCCCAGCCCCTACGGCCCTAAACCCTATATTCAACGCAAGATCCACATTACTATGATCATTATTATTACTATTATTTATTATTCTTATCATTATTACTACTATTACTATGACTATTGACAGTAATATTGTTATTATTATCAAAAGCGGTCCTCTGTGGGATCGCACTGCAAGAGGATGGCGGCCTGCGCGTTCTCCTTGGCTCCAGAGCCATGGAGGCCCCACGAGACGCTGAAAAATCGATGCTCAGGGCTAGAGGGGTTTTGGGTTAGGGTTTAGAGTTTAGGGTTTAGGGTTAGGATTTAGGGTTTAGGATTTAGGGTTTTGGGGTTTAGAGTTTTGGGTTTAAGGTTGGGATATCGGGTTTAGGGTTAGGACTTCGGGTTTCGGGTTTGGGGTTTCGGGTTTAAGGCGCATTGGGGTTTTGTTGGGGTTTATTGCGGTTTATTGGGGTTTTGTTTGGGTTTTGTTTGGGTTTATTGGGGTTTGTTGGGGTTTTGCTTGGGGCTTATTAAGGCTCCTTAGGGTTTGTTAGAGTTTATTAGGGTTTAGGGCTTATGGGGTTTATAGGGCTTGGGGTTTCTGATAGGGCTCCTTTGAAGGGTTCCTGAAAAGCTTACTATAATGCTATAAGAGCTATTTCGGGGCCTTGGTTAGTGTAACAAAGTTTTGGTGTAAACTATATTGTAACTACAAGGCTGGCTATGAGGGGGTATACGGTATATATTACGAACTATGCCTGCCCTTAAAGTACATTACAAAAGTTCAAGAACCCGAAGAATTTACTCCGCTAGGGTTTCAGGGTACTATAGGAGCCTTAATAGTCAGAATAGAGTTTTGGGCCCATTTTGCTAATTTTTTTATAATGAGGAACCCCAAAATAGTATTGGTAATTATTAAGGCCCCTATATATTATGTCCTGAACCTCTGACCCTAAACCCCCAAAAAACTCGAACCCCCCTAAGCCGGAAACCCTCCAAAAGGCCCCTAAACCCCTAAACCCGAAACAAGTAAACCCTAAACCCTAAGCCCCTGAGCCCCTAAGCCCGAAACCCTCCAAAAAGCGCCGAAAACTTCTTGCAACTCAGGGTGCGCTGATCTCTTTGTTGCTCTCGTTGACCATTTCGAAGAACTCCCTCGGCTTAGCTGTTGATCTAGCACCCGTACTTAAAGGATCTTGGGACTTGTTGACAAACAGATAGACATATAGACAGAGACAGACAGACAAAGAGATAGACCGACAGCCAGGCAGGGAGGTAGGTAGGCAGGTAGATAGGCAGATGAATAGATATAGATGGATAGACAGATCTACCTACAAGGGGGTCGGGGGGATTCGTACCAAAGTCTGGGAGACTCGCGAACACTTGCGAAGGCTTTGCCAAGGGTTTGCGAATGCTTGCAGACGCCGCACGGCCAGTTCTCGTCAAGTCCCTACCCCACAAACCCTTGCACCTTTAAACAAGAACCCTGTCGTTGCACCATCGGGAAATGCCATAGATCCTAACAATAAACGAGCACCAATACGCCCGTAATTCTGGCTGATTCGTCCCTGAACCCTAAACCCTACAACCCTGAACTCAAAACCACTAACCCCTAAACCGTCAAAGCTCATCTGGGCTGAGGCACTTCTCCTCATGGAAGAGGCGGCTGAAGACCAAAACCATCTTGTTGTAGATAATCATACTCTGCTTCACGTGTTCATCCTGTGTTGGGGTTTAGGGTTTGGGGCTTGAGGGTTTAGGGCTCAGGGCTTGGAGTTTCGTGATTGGGGTTTAGGACTTAGGGTTCTGGTTCACGTATTCGTGCTGCTTCGCAACGGCCACTCGCCCTAAACCGTGGTATGAGGTGTCCTATATGGGATGATAACTCAGTCATAATACAAAAGCAGGAATATGGTTTCATTTACAGTATGCTTCTTTCGCACCACAAAATTTGGAGACCCTACTTAAAGGATCATGGGACTTCGTAACTAGGATTATAAGTAAGGTAACTATACTTGTAACCCCTTTAAGGTACTTATAACCTTACTTACTAAGTCCCATGATCCTCCAAGTAGACTCTCAATCCAAAACCACCCTTAAACATCTAGACCCCCAAACTCTTCTGAAAATAGACCCCTAGCAAAACTCATCATTTTAGCTGTTTCCTAGGGGTTATATAATAACACAAAAATTATAATGAAAAAACAAAAAAAAATATATATATATATATATATATATTTCTAATCACCCCTAAGCAGAAAAGAGACCCACGGGAGTTCTCTGCCTCGGTCATCAGCTCGTGGGCCTGCTTGGGGCTGCCGTTGGCCGCGTTCTCTGCGATGCGCGCCTCGCAGCCCTAAACCCTAAACCCTAAGCCCAAACCCTAAAACCCTAAACCCTGAACCCTAAACCCTAAAACCCTCAACCCTGAACCCCTAAACCTTAAACCCCTAAACCCCTAAACCCTAAACCCTAAACCGCGATTACTTACCCAGAGACCCCAAGTCCGCATTGAAGGGACTTCTAAGGGCTCCTTTAAGGGCTCCTGGTTTAGGGTTTAGGGTTTAGAAGGGATCTATGTAGGGTTTAGGGTCTAGGGGACTTCAAGATCCCTTAATTAAGGAACATACGTAAATCATGTGGGGCTTCATATTGTGACTTAGGCGAAATTCCTTCATTAAGGGGTATGGAGCTCTGGGTAAAAGAAAGACGGCCTAGCGCTGAGGGTTTAGGGCTTCGGGGGTTTAGGGGTTCTCAGCGTTAAAGGAATTAAGGTTTAAGGTCTTGTTTTGGTTTCGGGTTTAGGGGTTCAAGGGATTTAGAGTTTAGGGTTTGGAGTGTAAGGCTGTCGGGCACGCCGAAAGTTTGGCGATTTGGTGGTTGTTGTGGATTTGGGAGGGGGACGGCAGGGCGGGGAGGTTGCAGGGTTTTGGCATTTACGATTTGAGGCCCTAAACCCTAAACCCTAAACCCTAAACCTGTGATTTTGGCCATTGGAAGTCAGGCTTTAGGGCTGCAGGATTCTTGGGGTCAGGGGTCCAGTGAGTGAGTGACTCTAAACTCCCAGCCCTACGGCTTCAAACCGAACCCCTAAACCCAAAAAACCTTATAAAGCCCGAACCCTACACCCAACACACCAGGCCTCCATGGACTTGGTCATAGCATCCACCTGACCGTCAAGCGAGGATGCTACATCAAGGTCTTCGGGCTTTGATCTTCAAGGTTCCCGTTGCCCTAAACTCTAAAAACTAAACTCTAAACCTTCTTGGGGATTTTAAGCTTCAGGCAAGGGGCTTACGGTTGCTCAGAAAAGCGTTAGGGCACGCTACCAGGGCTTAGGGTTTAAGGTTAAGAACAAAGGTAGTCGTTGTGATTTATGAACTTATTTTTGTAAGAGGAACCCTCACGAAAACCCTATGCAACCCTCTAGCACTTTATCATGCTATATTTATCAGAGGAACCCTCGCGAAAACCTATAAAACCCTCTGAAACCGTATTAGAACCTGCTAAAACCCTCATACCGCCTATTAAAAAGCCCAGCAAACCCTGTCAAACCCTTGCAAAACCTGCTGAAACCCTTATAAACCCTACTAAAACCTCATCGGCCCCCTTGCAGACGGTATGGATCTGAAAGAAAACCCGATGCAATATGGGGCAGGAATGGGCTTGGGGCTCAGCGTTGAGGGGGGGCACGTTGCATAGTTGTAACATGATACTAAAGGGATAGTATATACTGCTAGTTCTTCAGACCCCTTCTACACTTTCAGGCGGATTGGGCTCACCTCAAGAACCCTTCAAAACCGGCTGGAATCCTTTCTCAAACCTACAAAGCCCTTACATAGACCCCATCAAACCGTACAAATACGTATAAAAACCTTAAAGACCACGCGTGCGTAGACTTGCACTGCCTATGCAAATACTTCCTACACAGGAGCTGCGGTGCAGAGCGGACTTCACCCTTCCACAGGAGGCACACAGGCGGCTTACAGATCGTGGTCGGAGGATTCGATTTCCACAACGGCAGCCTTCGCCACAGACGGTGCTGCATGTGCTGCAGTTGGGGCAGATGCTTTCGTCAGTCGGCGATGCCCGTTTGACAGCACCGCGGCATAGGCGAAAGAGGTGCATGCAATTGGCTGCACATGGTGGAGCTGTCCTCGCAAGCCACCACGGCAGCCCCGGCCTCTTCCAAATTGCCCTTTGTTAGGGCTCGCCACTCTGTGTCGTCTGCATGCCTGCATGGGAGCATTTCATAGAACTCCGAAGTCGCAACAACGTGCTTCGAGCCCAGAGGTGGTTTTCAGCCAGCACCACCTCTATGCTGTGAGATTCCGTAGCTCATCAAACCCTAAACCCTAAACCCTTAACCCTAAACCCTAAAAACCTAAACCCTAAACCCTAAACACCTAAACCCTAAACCCTAAACCCTAAAAACCTAAACCCTAAAGCCTAAACCCTAAAAAGTAGCAGTGCTCCATTGCTGGGAAGACATCCAGCCCTTGCCGTCCTTCTTCAACGCAATCGCAGACTTGTTTTGAAGGGAATCCAAAACAGGGCTTAGGGTTTAGGGGTTACGGATTTCTTTTAAATGCAGTGGGCCTTTCTCTCCGCTCCCTCGACCCTGCCTTCGACAGGCTTGCACAAACAACACACAGCTGCTCAACAGAACCAGTGCTGTTCACTGTCCAGAGACTGCCATGTGACATTAGCTGTTATCATCAACCCCATTCTTAGGGTTTAGGGTTTAGGGGTTAGGGTTTAGGGGTTAGGGTTTAGGGTTTAGGGTTTAGGGGTTAGGGTTTAGGGTTTAGGGTTCAGCAGCTCTGACTTTGAAGATTTCACGTCAAGCTTATTTTAGTCAAGCTATCTTCAAGAAGAAACCCCACCCGCCCAGAGAATCCCCTCACATTAGAATTAAAAGTTTTATTTCTTTTGGCATGAATTATTAAATAATAAGTTACATACAACTCCAAGAATTTTCATACGGTTCGTGTTTGAGCAGCCACAGCCGTGGAGTTGATTTCATGTCCTAAATGTTTTTACATTGGCCTTTGTCTACTGCTATGCATCGACTGTAGCAGGACGATATCTAAACCCTAATTCCCAAACCCTAGGCCCTAAACCCTAATGCCCAAACCCTAGCCCTAAACCCTAGGGCCCAAACCCTAGGCCCTAACCCTAGTGCCCAAACCCTAGGCCCAAAACCCTAGGCCCAAACCATCCTTGTTTTCGCCTTGGCAGATGGAAACCAGCGTGTCCAACTAGCATCATTGTTTTTTTGCCTTGACATATGGAAACCAGCGTGTGCAACTAGCATCCTTGTTGCTGCCTTGGCAGAAGGAAACCAGCGTATTCAACTAGCATTCTTGTTGTTGCCTTGGCAAATGGAAACCAGGTGTTCAGCTAGCATCTTTGCTTTTTGCCTTGGCAAGTGGAAACCCGCATGTTCAAGTAGCATCCTTGCTTTGGCCTTAGCAAACGGAAACCAGCGTGTGCAACTAACATCCGTGTTCTTATCTCGGCAAAAGGAAACCAGCGTGTCCAATTAGCATTTTTTGTTGCTTTGGTAGATAGAAGCCAGCATGTGCAACTAGCATCCTCGTTTTTGCCTTGGCAAAAGGAAACCAGCGTGTTCAACCAGCATCCTTGTTTTTGCCTCGGCAAAAGGAAACCAGCGTGTGCAACTAGCATCCTTGTTTTTGCCTCGGCAAAAGGAACCCACCGCGTTCAACTAGCTAGCATCCTTGTTTTCCTTGCCAGATGGAAACCAGCGTGTGCAACTAGCATCCTTGTTTTTGCCTTGGCAGATGGAAACCAGCGTGTCCAACTAGCATCCTTGTTGCTGCCTTGGCAGATGGAAACCAGCGTGTGCAACTAGCATCCTTGTTCTTGCCTCGGCAAAAGGAAACCAGCGTGTCCACCTAGCATCTTTTTTTGTTGCTTTGGTAGATAGAAACCAGCATGTGCAACTAGCATCCTCGTTTTTGCCTTGGCAAAAAGAAACCAGCGTATTCAACCAGCATCCTTGTTTTTGCCTCGGCAAAAGGAAACCAGCGTGTGCAACTAGCATCCTTGTTTTTGCCTCGGCAAAAGGAACCCACCGCGTTCAACTAGCTAGCATCCTTGTTTTCCTTGCCAGATGGAAACCAGCGTGTGCAACTAGCATCCTTGTTTTTGCCTTGGCAGATGGAAACCAGCGTGTCCAACTAGCATCCTTGTTTCTGCCTTGGCAGATGGAAACCAGCGTGTGCAACTAGCATCCTTGTTCTTGCCTCGGCAAAGGAAACCAGCGTGTGCAACTAACATCATTTTTGTTGCTTTGGTAGATAGAAACCAGCATGTGCAACTAGCATCCTCGTTTTTGCCTTGGCAAAAGGAAACCAGCGTGTTCAACCAGCATCCTTGTTTTTGCCTCGGCAAAAGGAACCCACCGCGTTCAACTAGCTAGCATCCCTTTTTTCCTTGCCAGATGGAAACCAGTGTGTGCAACTAGCATCCTTGTTTTTGCCTTGGCAGATGGAAACCAGCGTGTGCAACTAGCATCCTCGTTTTTGCCTTGGCAGATGGAAACCAGCGTGTGCAACTAGCATCCTTGTTTTTGCCTTGGCAGATGGAAGCCAGCGTGTGCAACTAGCATCCTTGTTCTTGCCTCGGCAAAAGGAAACCAGCGTGTGCAACTAACATCCTTGTTTTCAGGTGGGAACCAGCATGTTCAATTAGCGTCCTTGTTTTTGCCTCGGCAAAAGGAAACCAACATATTCAACAGTAGCAGCCCCCCAAATCAGGCCCCTAGGCCCTAAACCCTAATGCCCAAACCCTAGCCCTAAACCCTAGGGCCCAAACCCTAGGCCTAGTGCCCAAACCCTAGGCCCTAAACCCTAGGGCCCAAACCCTAGGCCCTAAACCCCAGTGCCCAAACCCTAGGCCCTAAACCCTACTGCCCAAACCCCAGGCCCTAAACCCTGGGCCCTAAACGCTTGTCCGTAAACCCTAGGTCCCAAGCCCTAGGCCCTAAACCCTAGCGCCCAAACCCTAGGCCCTAAACCCTAGCGCCCAAACCCTAGGCCCTAAACCCTATGGCCTAAACCCTAGGCGCTAAGCCCTAGGGCCCAAACCCTAGGCCCTAAACCCTAGGGGGATGACCAAGAGCCACGAGTTATGACCAAGAGCCACGAGTTATGACCAAGAGCCACGAGTTATGACCAAGAGCCACGAGTTATGACCAAGAGCCACGAGTTATGACCAAGAGCCACGAGTTATGACCAAGAGCCACGAGTTATGACCAAGAGCCACGAAGACTATAAGGTTTAAATTACTATAGGTAGAGGTTTAGGGGTTAGGGTTTAGGGTTTAGGGTTGTTTTGAAGGGAAGCCAAAACCAGCATGCCAACTAGCAGTGACACCCTGGGGAGACTTCCTGGCATGGATAGAAGCGGCGATTTTAAAGCGTTCCAAGCACCAATAAGAACCACCCCAACGATCCCAGGGCTCGCTTGCAGAGAGCCAACTCCAAAACCCCTGAATTAAGCAACATATCTTAAGTGAGGAATCCTACACACTGACTTAAGGTATCTTCCGTTATCCCTTAACCCTAAACCCCTGAGTCCTGAGTCATCAAAACGGCTAATGCATCGTGACGATCGCTTAGTTCAGCTGTGATCACCCGATACCCGAAACCTGCGTGCCAAGATATTTAGAACTGATACTTAGGGCTTAGGCTTAGGGTTTAGGGGTTTAGGGTTTACGGGTTTGGAACTCCGTGTTTGCCGGACTGGGTCGCCTTTACCAAATTGCGGGGTTCGCGTAGCGAAGGGGTGAGGTAGGTGTTCTGTTTTGATGGGATTGAGATGCATTCCATATACGGTGGCTTCTACCTGCAAAGCTTGTAGAAATTCGCTGGATTGCTCTAATGCAAATCCCGCTGGCAGCGCATCATCTGCATAGGCTTACCTACAGACCATGCGTTGGCGGATACCCCATGTGTGAGTAAGGGTTTGTCTAGATCATAAACAAAACTGTCATCAGCATGACACAAAACGCATAGGCTGAGCGGGCAGCCCTGCCTGATACCAGAATGCAGTGCTGGCTTCAGTTGTCTCAGAGGTTACCTTCTGTGTGAAAGGTCTGGTCTGCATATAGTCTCAATGACAACTGCATGTTGGCAGTGTACTCCTCCAAAGTAGATAACAAAATTGTTCCAAAACTAACACTCCGAAGCCTTGTTCACGCGCGCGCGGCAGGACAGAGAAGCGCTTTGTATTGTAAATACCACGACAAACACAATATGTACATTGATTTGCCTGCCTGTGAAAAACCCACGATTCTGCACACAAACGCGTTCAAAACTCGAGTTTTGGCCTCGGAACAGCTGCCAACAAGAGTGCTTTGAAGCTATGAAGATGCCTGAGGATGTGTCAAAAACTCGAGGAATTTGCGGGTTCGACGACGGTAGAACAACAAGAAATCAACGGAATTGCAAAACAGCTGAATTTTGGAGGAGCATTTCGCCTCGTAATAACCAGGTCGCAGAGGCCCTTGAGCACGTGATGAGGTCACATATGTGCAGTGAACCCTCAAAAACTCGAGGAATTTGTCATTTTTACATGATTTGAAGTGCACGCAGCAGGCACACGAGAAGAAGTTTTCACTCAGACACGCGGACGCAATTTCAGTAATTTTAGCAGTTTCTTGATTTGAGGTTTTTGTGATACTTACGAAAATCGTGGCAGGCGTGGCATTTGGTGACTTCAATGTGTTTTTAGCATTTTTTATTTTTTGAGTGGGCAGTGTGACACACAGAAATCGCGTTGTAGAGGGCCTTTGGAGCATTACTTTTAACTTACTCTCAAAGCTTCAGTACTTGAAGGCTCATGGGACTTAGTAAGTAAGGTTATAAGTAGGTTATAATTGGGATAACCCCACTTAGGGGACTTATAACCCCAATCATAACCTACTTACTAAGTCCCATGATCCTCTAAGAAAGCTTCAGTAGTGATTTGAGCGATACTGGAGTATAGACCTACTCCCGCACAAGGAGCCCTTTGAACCTCAGTGCTGAAACGTCACGCTTGTTCGCAGTGCTTTGTGCATACCTTTAGGGGTTACTTGGAGGCCCTTTTGACTTAGTAAGTAGGGTTAGTAAGGTGGGTTATGGAGTTGCTAATATGGTTTCTATGGGATACTAAGTAGACTTACTAAGTCAAAAGGGCCTCCAAGTAGGGTCTATGGTTACAGGGTTAAGATACATCTGCAGCAGGCGTAGTAAGCCTGTAAGCGCAGTAATCCGAGCGTCGCACTAGCAGCTGTAGCAGCAGCAGAAGCAACAGAAACAACAGTACTAGTAGTAGTAGTAGTAGTAGTAGCAGTAGTAGTAGTAGTAGTAGTAGCAGCAGCAGTAGTAGTAGTAGTAGTAGGAGTCGTAAAGTTGTAGCAGTCGACCTGATGGAAATAGCCCCTCCCCCGCACCCCCCTACCCCAACCCCTCGAAGTCACAAAACCCTTCGCGCACCGGCAAATCCGAAGACCGAAAACGCAAAACCCTGTAAAAAAGCGATGTGAAAGGCTTCTAAAATATGCTCCAAAGTGCGTGTGAAGAGGGCTTCGGATGGAAAACCCTGGTTACAGAACCCATATAGGCAGCCCTTATCGTACCCGTAAAAACAAACTTATGCTAATGATGAGGCCCCATACGTTACCTCCGGACTCTGAAACCCTAATTCGCCCCAAAATCGCGTTCTTGGGGGTTCAGGGTTTGGGTTTCAGGGTTTACCTTGAACCTCAGGAACCTACCTGTAGGGTTCCTTACTGTGATTTCTCTATGTCGAACCTGGAAAAGGTAGCTTATTTCGGGTCCTGCTAGGGTCTGGAAGTATAGGGTCAAGGGAGTAGGGAATCCGTACGAACCCCATTAACTAGACCCGAAGAGTCCAAAACCCGCTCATTCAGGAATAAACCTTAAAGCCTTTGCTCTGCACTGTCTTGGCGTTTCCAGCGCCCTAAACTCCAGAGAGCCTGAAACTGAACTCTTTCGCTTCCAAACCCTTATACCCTCAACCGGATCCCCAAACCCCAAACCCTAAACCCTAAACCCCAAACCCTAAACCCCAATCCTACACCCCAAACCCTAAACCGTGAAAACTCGCAAGGGCTCAGGGTTTTGGGCTGAGGATCCTCACTCGACACCTACCTGCCCCTGAGGGACCTTAATGGTTAGAATAGGGTTTAGGGTTTAGGGTTGGGGACCTTAATGATTAGAATAGGGTTTTGGGGACTCCTTATAAGTATTTTGGCCCCTACATTAGGGTAACTTGGTCTTTGGGGTTAAGGGTTTAGGATCCTCACTAGAAACCTACAAACCCTTAAGCCTAAGACCTGAAGCCCCGGAAAGCGCTCAAAGCCAACCTCGTCGTAGTAGGCCTGCACTGACGTTCGCAGCCTCGGCGGAATCACGTCATTTAAGGGTTTAGGGTTTAGGGTCTAGGGCCTTGGTAAATAGAGTAGGATTTTGGATAGATTGTAGCACAAGTATGATGAGAAAACCTGACAGATAACATGTGGTTTCGGGTTTGGGGCTTAAGGTGTAGGGGTGGATGTCGAGACTTTGGAAAATACAGATTAGGGTCGGTCTCCACCCTCCGGATGATTCGGTCACCTTGGGGGTTGAAGCTGAGGCTACTTGAAGGCTCATGGGACTTAGTAAGTAAGGTCATAAGTAGGTTATAAATAGGAGAACCCCACTTAAGGGACTTATAACCCCAATCAGAACCTACTTACTAAGTCCCATGATCCTCTAAGTAGACCCTAAACCCTAAACCCCATAGATCCCTTTAAGGAACCCTATAGCTTTAAGGAACCCCTTACTAAGTCCCATGATCCTCTAAGGAATCAGTTTTCAGGGTCGTGAGTCTCGGTTGGATTCTAGGGATTAAGGCCCCCTGCACTAAACCCTTACAGTAACCCTTACAGTAATCCTTAAAACGCAAACCCTTATAGTAACCCCTATACTAAACCCTTATAGTAACCCTTTATAGTAACCCTTATAGCGAACCCCAGAAAGTTGGAACATAGATTTAGGATGAACAGTGCTGGGATTCCCTCTAATTACCATACCTTGAGGGCATGAGGGCAATGATGTTCCAACTTTCTGGCTTCTACTGTATAGTAACCCCTAAACCCTAAACCCTAAACCCTTATAGACCCGGTCCGTGGATTTCGTGTACCGGGAGTCTGTCCGGGTTCGGCGTTCGGGCCTCGGGGTCCGGGTCGAGTGTGTTTGTAGTGTTTGGGTTTAGGGTTTAGGGTTTAGGGTTTAGGGTTTAGGGTTTAGGGAGTTTTACAAGGAGGTGCGTTCAACGCCTTTGAAACATGTTAGTAGGTAAGATCCTCTTAAGCCCAGAGCAAACACAAAATGCCTCAAAGCCCTACCGAGCTTTACGGTGTAGAGATGGGTTGCCTGCCTTCGCCTCAAAGGTACTCGGCCCTTCCATGGCTTCTGCTCTTAAGACAGCCTCGAGGCTGGTAGGTCCAATATGCGGGACATTCTGAATAGCTAGGCAGGATGCAGAATGCAAGCATGCTGTTGCAGAGGATTTCGGAGCTCCCCAGACCCTCGCTCCCTTCCGTGGCCGAGGATAGCAGCGAGCAGACAAGCATGTAGAAATGCGCGCCTGCACTGTAGACGTTGCTCTTCAAGAAAACAGGATTTAATCTCATGAAACTCTCGCTGTCAGATTGTGTGTCGCGTATGGCATACGATTTCAAGTCGAGGCCGTTCCTCAGCAGCACCGCCAGGTCGCAGGCCAGATGTCCGTATTGGATCGTTCGACATCCGGAATGATGATGGAACGTCATTCTTTTCAGAATGTGAAGTGTGTCCAGGGACGAGAGCAGGCGGTGCTGGCCATGGCAGCACAAGATCCCAGTCGGAACGAACGGCATCCCAGGCATTCCATGCACGGTGCAGCGACAAAGGGCTGTAACATACAACATGTTGTCACGGGGACCCTTAAGTGGGGTAGGGGGGGTATGATAAGGACCTAATAAGGCCGATTTAGGGAAGTATAGGGGGCTCCCCTTCCCCCTACCCCCTTAAGCGTCCCTATGATGTTAGCAAGTATACCGGCTTCTAACCGCCCGGCCTCGCTTTGCATTCGCCGGAACTAGCGCAGCTAAGAACCTATACAAATAAGATTAAATAAGAACAAAGATGGAAAAGGAATACATAGAAAAAAAACATTCGTTATGATGGTTACAAGCAAGTTCAAGTTACATGATAACAAAAAATGACAAAGACGAACAAACAATACTCGCAACCATAGTGAAAATGCAGAAAAGCAGAAAGAAATAACAACAATTACAATACTGATCATCATCATCGTCATCATCAAAACCCACAAAACAAGAACGGAATGTGAAGATCTTCGACACATAACACTAAATGCGGATAATAGCAGTAAAAGCAAACAGAACACAAAATGCGGGTAATTACAGTAGTACCAACAACATACAGTACTAACTTCAAGAACAACCATGTCAATGGACAAACAGAACAATACATCTAAGTAAAAGAGAATACAAATAAGACCAATCATAGTCGCACTACGCAAAAGAAGTATAATAACAGTAGCAGTAGTCGTCGTCGTCCTCGTCGTCGTCGTCGTATAGTAGCAGTTGTTGTTGTTGCTGTAGCAGCAGTAGCAGGAGGAAAAGCAATACCAATAGCGATAACAACCAGGCAGTGATAGGACGGATAAGATAAACAGCGGAAGGCGTTCAGGAGCTGGCCCACAGAACCACCTTTAGAGTTTAGAGCTGAAGACGACAAACTTGGCTTGAGGACCCTTCCGTGTACCTTTCGACGCGTGTCCCACCTGACACTCTGGACCCTTCGAGGCTTAGGACTAAAGGATTCTAGGTAATTACACCGAAACCCTGGCCCCAAAATCCGAGATACTACACACTTACACCCTCGACCCTAAACTGAATCTCGACCCCACAAGTAGATCTTGGTGATGGGCGATAGGTGTTAGGCTTAAGGGTTTAGGGTTTAGGGTTTGCCAATGTCTATGGATAGGATCCTATATAATATAAATAGAAATGTGGTACCTGTAGTACTTCCCTACGCTGAAGAATATGCCGCGCAGCTATGAAGACCTCAGAAAGGACCCCAATGTAGCGAACTACCCAAGACCTACTTTAGGGCCCCAAAAAAGCACATAAGCAAAAATTAGGATAGGGATATCCCATATAAACCCCCTTATGTGGGTTTTTGGGGGTCCCTATAAAAACCCAAAAAGTTAAAGTCCTGAGAGCCAACCAGAATAACGCCAAGTTTAGAGGCCAGAGTGCAGGGTGGTCGACGTCCAGGGTCTTAGGGGCGTACTGGTTTGAAGGTTTATAGTTTGGGCTTTAGGTTTTGGGGGTTTGGAGGTGTAAGGGTTTAGGGCACTCATACATGAACGTTAGAGCAACCTGCAATTCTAAACCTTAGACTCAATACCAAAGCAAAAGATCTGAGGCATGTCAGTTCCACAGGCTCCGGCTCCTTGACCAGTTCGCTCGTTGCCAGCTTGTTCTGCAGATCCTGGCTAGTGGAGGGAGCCACACAGTCAAACGCTCTAAAATGGACGATAGCAACCATGCTTTTTAAGGCTGACCTGTGGCCCGAACCAACTGAACTTCCAGCTTAGGATTCAGGCTTCCAGCTATGTTTAGGGCGTAGGGCTCAATCCAACAATCGTCGTTTGGTTCAGTAGGACCCCCGCACAATATGGGAGTTCCCGAAAATAGGGGACCCTAATATAGTACCATAAATAGTACGATCCCCATTATAAGGACCCCCAAATAAGGTACCCCTCATTTTCGGAAACTCCCATATGTGGCTCGGGCAACCTGCACTCCCAGAAGCGACACCGCCATAGGCCCCAAGCCCTATGCGCTCATCCCTAAATCCTAAACCCTAGGATACCCAGTAACCTAAGAATAAAAAGGCCTCTCTTTTTGGTATTGGGTAACTTTATAAGGAACCTAGGACTACAAAAAGGGAATAAGGGTACTACTGGGCATCCTAGCTAAACCTTAAGTCGTAAACTGAAAACCCTGACCCTCTTTCGGGGCGGGACGGTGACCATGTATTATATGGGCCTTGATAATTAGAATAGGATTTGGGGCCCATTGAACTATAATTACAATAAGGAACCCCCAAAATAGTATAGGTACTCATGTAGGCCCCTATAGTACAAGGACCGGACCGTGCATGCATGCTGGCTGATGTTGCAGATGGTACTTCAGGCGGTCGGAGGTGTGCAAGTGGGTGTGGCACCACAGGCAGATCGAGCCCGCCATGTCCATGTAAGGCGTAACAGCCGCAAGCTGCCTATGCTTTCGGTGCATGTGCGCATTCAACTCACGCAAACTAGGCAGCCGCGGTTGACAAGTAGGACACTCAGCCTGACTAGACCTTGTCCTCCATCTCTGGCAGGGGTCGCAGACAGAGCAACACGTTGTTGTCTTCGAGGAGTGGCACCAGACGCCAGGCTTCTAACCGAGCTTCCAGGCGCCCTAAACCCCGTACATCCCAAACCTGAAGCGTCGCAAGCCCGAAAACGCTCGAACTTCGACCACTACATCGGTCCTAGAGACCCCGGCCCGCGAAGCTCATGAAGGAAATGTACCTTACGCTGTTCTTGTACTCGGCGAACTCCCACTCGTGAAGACGCCGTAGGGGAAGAAGAGCACGTAGGTCATGAAGACAAACGCGCTGTCAAGGAATGCACTAGACATTCAGAAAGCGGCAACAAGCAGGAACTTCAAGTAAATGTACCTTAAGCTGCCACGACCGATTGTTCGTAGGTTCTTCTTATAACCCGGAATTCCTTACAAAAAGAGTAAGTTTTGGCAGCTTAGAGTAGAAGTGAGAATTCCGATGATAACATCTCCGAGCCCCCCGCGTATATACTTCTTCATGCGCTGAAATACATGGGAGTTTCCGAAAATTGGGGACCCTCATATAGTACCCTTAAATAGTGGGATCCTTATTATAAGGACCCCCAAATAAGGTACCCCTAGTTTTCGGCAACTCCCACATGGGGCCCTGGATCTGATCTGGTCAAGAAGTCCCTAAACCCTAAACCCTATAGTAAAAGCCAGAAACTTGGAATATGATTATCCTAAGCCCTGTATGGTAAATTATAAGGTATCCTACCCTGAAACCATATTCCAACTTTCTGGAGTTCCCTCTAAACCCTTAAACCGAAGTCCCATGCTCTGATGAATCGGGGTTCTGAGCATGGAGAGCCCCTCTTCTTCAACAACCGGGCCCCAAAAAGTTCAAACTTTCTGAGGTGGAGCTGATATATAAGGCCACAGAGTTTAAAATTCCCCCGGGCACTATCTAAGTCATAGGGACCCTTCGGGGGGTAGAGGACTATGAGCTAAGATATAAGGCCAAAAGTTTGGAGCTGCTCCCTTCGCGATCTAAGGAGCCAATCCCAGCAAAAGCACAACAGCTGTCAACCACCCAACCCCTCCGCGTGGAAATCAGAGCCTGAAACCCTGAAACCTTAGCCCTAAAAGAGAAATCTTGATCGTGAGCTTCATTAATCTAGGGCCGTTTATATTTTGGGATAAAGTCAATTATGGTTAAATGAATATTCCCCTAAACCATGAACCATGAACCCCTAAACCCTTGAACCCCAAACCATTCATACTAATCATTCCGACCCCTACGTTACCCCGCGGGCCGTCTCCGCTTCGTCTTGCAGGTGCTTGGCAAACTCAGCATCGGCCTGCAGAGTTTAGGATTTAGGGTTCAATGGTTAGGCTTGGGGAATCCCTACTTAGAGGATCATGGGACTTCGTAAGTAGGTTATAATTGGGGTTATAAGTCTTCTAAGTAAGTGGGGTTATCCTGCTTATAACCTACTTATAACCTTACTTAGTAAGTCCCATGAGCCTTCAAGTACCCCGGAGACTCTACATCCCTTTACCTCTTGGAGGGTCGAGGGACTTGGTAAGTAGTTGCTTTATAGAGTTGCCTCTGCCTCGGACTTACCATGATTCACGGTACAGGGCAGATTCAGCATGACATAAGCAGCTTCCCTCCGCCGTCGAGCTTGTGGTTCAAGATTTCGGATTTACATGTAGGGCCTGGTGTTCGGCTTATCAGGTCTGAACATCTGGGATGGTGCTGTTGATAGCGGACCCTTAAGCCCAAAGTAACTAGCAGGCTGTGGATAATGTGGCGTTTGGTGCCTAAGGGTCCAGAAAGATGAGTGCCCGGAGCCTCTAAGACGAGGCTTCCGGTCAATGGCGTCTTAGGGCTAGGTTGGGCCTCCAGGCGTGTCAGATGAACTCCAACCAAAGACCCACCCCAATGCCATCGTCTAGGGTTTCGGGCTTCCCAGACGTCAACGCAGCAAGAAGAAAAACAAACATACAGAAAAAAATATATACATATATGTGGCTGCCAGCATACCAGATCACCACGATCGCAGGATCTGCAGCATAGGGTTCCGCTGGAACATCTGCCAGTCTTCCAGCACGTGTAGGGCCCCGTAGCAGGGCCTCGCACCCTCTCCAGACATACCCTAAACCCTAGACCCTCTCCAGACAGGCCTCCGCCTGCTGCATGATTGTTTTCCAGCCGAACCAAGAGTGGAACGAGCCATCCTTGGGGTTTGAGGTTCCCGCAGACTAAACCGAAATCCTGAACCCGAAACTCCTAAAGCCTGGTAACTTGAAAACCCTGCAATTCGCGACCCCGACTCCCCAAAGCCCTAGAAAAGGCCCCAAGCCCCGTCATGCTCTCGCACTTTGAAAGCAAAGCCCTCCCAAATGATCCCTTAGAATCACTGCCCAACACGAACCATGTTCCCCAAACCCTTAACCCAAACCCGTTGTAGAGCCCCAACAATCAATAATGAAGGCCCTTATACAACGTTCTAAGAACCCTAGGACCCTCATATACAAAACCACTTTAGTGACGAAACCTTTAAAAACCCGTGGAACCTCAATGCAACTCCGGAAACCCTTATAGAACCTGTACAGATGCCTTCTCAAAGCACGTCTGTTCATCTGATAGAACTACGGTTTAGGGTTTTGGGGGTTAGGGTTTAAGGTGTGATAGAGCACGTCAGAAACTTCTTGAGCCCTGATTGAACCCTCCTAGAAGTCTGGTTAGACGCACTCATGGAATTCTTAAACCATTGAAACCCCTACACACTAAACTCCAACCCTGAAGCAAAACCCAAAACCATACATAAACCCCGCAAAACACCTCAAAACAAAACTTTACAAAGCACCTATCATACACATCAAAAAACACACGGCAACACTCGGCCTGAGCTTCCTTCGACTGCTTGTCGGCTTCTTCGGCTCGCGTTTCTGAGCAGAAGGAGGTTTTAGTTTTTAAGTCTAGGGTTTAAGGTACAGGGTTTGAGGCTTGAGGTTTAGGGTATAAGGTTTAAGGTTTAGGGTTTAAGGTTTTGGGTTTGGAATTTAGAGTCTGCTATTATCGGGTTTAAAGTGGTTTATAGTGAGGTTTCCCTAGGCGTTTGGGAGGCTTCGGTGAGTTTTCTGGCACTTTGGGGTTTGCAGCTTTGCGTTTGGAGTGTAAGTTTGTTGCACGTTGTGTGGTTCGGCATGGGCGTAAGACTGAAAGCCTGAACCCTAAACCCCAAACCTTAAGGGGGCTGTGAGGCACTTGCAAGGTTGGGCCCGTGGCTATCAATAAAGGCCGTACGAGCTTGCAAACCAAAAGAGCTGGGATAGAGCGGGGCCTTAATAATTAGAATGGGGTTTTGGGGGGTCTTGTATACTTTAATTACACTAAGGAACCCGAAAGAGTAATGATTGCACTTATGGGTTAAAGGCTTATGGTTTAGGGTTCAAGGTTCAGCTTTGCATGTTTGATAGCATTGGCGACGTCAGAGCCGATGTCCTCACTGGCTTGCCTAGCGTGGCAAAAACAAGCATAGGCATTTGCAGACAAATCCGAAGGCTTGTGTTCTCCGGCAAGAATCGTGAGGGCTGGAACATCCATCTCCGAGGAGTATTTTGCATGAAATCCAGTAGCTCAACCCAGGCTGATACCTAGATAAAGTCCCCGTCGTAATCTCCGTCTCCTACGTGTTGCTAAGCTTCCTGGACACCCAGCTACCTACTTGATGGGTACTTCTGTAGGACTCTTGAAGGAGATCCTAAAGACAGAAACCCACCATACCACCACATAGGCGACTGAGCTTCTAGACACAGTCCACATGCGAACCACACTTCACTGCAACCCTAAACCCCAAACCCTAAGCCAAGCCCTCAGCCCCAAACCCCAAACCCTGCACACAATCTTCATCTGAGCTGCCCCTGAAACTTCCAAGGGTTCGATGTCTTGGGGTCTCGGTGGTTTTGGATTTTAGAACCCAGTGTTTGGGGTGTTAGGGAGCTTGGGCTTGTAGAGGGCGTTGTAAAAGTCTTGAAGGGTGTGGCAAGACTTGTCATAGGCTACAGGGCTCCAGGGATTAGGGTCTAGGGTTTAGGGCTCAGCTTAGCATGTTCGGGTGCTTATTCGGCGCCCATGTTTGCTCGTAGAAAAACCACATCCAGGTACCGTGTCCACTTCCGGCCATCGACCGTGCTCCTGAAAATAGTCCAGAAAGTCGGTCGCCTTCACGACTCCGAGGAACATGGATGATTGTATCCAAGCCAAGCACGTGTATCCAAGCCAAGCACTTCGCTCTGCCAGTCTACGTCTGGGATGTAACCAGTCATGGCCACTCTGTGTCCAATTTCCAGTAGTATGTCCCAGTGAATCCTGCAAAGCCCAGTCCAGGTGGTGGTGCGATGACGCGGGGATGGTAGGCGTCTTCCTCGCGGGAACGACGGAAACTTGTTTCGCCTCGCGGTGCTTTTCCGCGCCCTGTAGGGCCTTCTCGGAGCAGGGCTCAACGAGGTTGTGAAACTTTGCAAGAGGCGACCAGGGTGGAACGGAAACTTGTTTACACCCCAACTTTACGGCTCCAGCTAGAGACACGACCAATAGTTCGGCTCGGAGCATTACTCTACTCCCTTTATTTAAGATGTTAGCAAAAAATCAGGAACCCTTTAACAAGAAGCCGTAACCAAAAAAAACAAAAACGTCCCCAAGAGCCCCATAGCTCAATCTGTGGGTGCACCTTGCTCGCGGCAGTGCTTCTCTGCATCCTGGGGAAGTTGGGACGTGTGATTTAGGCGTCAGACATCGGGGCCTTCATGGCTTTAGGGTTTAGGGTTTAGGGTTTAGGGTTTAGGGGTTTAGGGTCATGCTTGAGTTATAACATGCCATAATGGGACTACAAAGGGATATTATACTAATTCCTTCCCACGCCAACTGTTCAGGTTTAGTGTGTAGAGATTGAGGGTTCGCAAGTGTCTTCTGTGGGTGCTACAGCGAAAACCTTTCCATCGCATCTGCTCTGGGTGAGCAGGTGAAGAAAGGGTCTTAATAATTAGAATAGGGTTTTGGAGCCCATTATACTTTATTGAAAAAAGGAACCCCCATAATAGTAAGGTAATTATTTAAGCCTCCACAATAGATCGGAGAAAGGTGTTGAGGGGGTCACGAGAGAGTTCAGTTTAGGGTTTAGGAGGGTTGAGAAGTTGAGGGCTCAGGCATCCAGGGCTGGGGCGCAGCCGTCCGGATTCAATCTCAACCCTAAACCATACACCCTAAAACGCCCCGCATCACGAGAATGTCTAATGCCATCCCTTCCTTCGGGCTGTCGTAGAAGGATGCGGTTTAGGATTTCAGGGCTTAAGGGCTTCAGGGTTTAGGGTTTACGGTTGTCCTTTCAAAGAGAGGTCAGGTATTCCTCACTTACAGTAACCCTTTTCATAAGACTCCTTTACAATGGAACCCTTAAAATGTCCTTTATGGTATTCCTTATTTAAGCCCCTATTCCTATAGTATACCCTTCCCCAGCTTTGGCGCGGCTCCCTGCCTCGTAGGCGGCGGCGGCCTTCTGCTGCGCCTGGCGTCCGACTCTTGCGGGTGCAGGGCTTCGGGGTTCCTTTAAAGGGACTGTAGGGCTCCTTTAAGGGATCCTTTAAGGGATCCATTAGATCCTTTAAGGGATCTATAGGGTTTAGGGTTGAAGGGTTTAGGGGTTAGGGGTTCCGGGTTTAGGAGTTGGGGGTGGTTTGGGGTTTAGGGTTTCTGGTTTAGGGTTTGGGGTTTAGGGGTTTGGGGTCAGGGTTTAGGGGTTTGGGGTTAGGGTTTAGAGGTTTGGGGTTTGGGGTTCAGCGTTTAGGGTTTAGGGGTTTAGGGTTTCGGGGTTACCGTGCAGGGCTTTGGGTTTAGGGTCTAGGGTTTAGGTGTGGTTTGCGGCTTTCAGGGTTTGGGGTGTAGAGGTTTGGGGTTAGGGTTCAGGGCCTAGGGCTTGGGGTTTGGGGTTCAGGGCTTAGGGTTTGGGGTTTAGGAGCTTAGGGTCTGGGGTGTAGGAGTTTAGGTTTGAAAGACTCTGAACCAAAACATCGTGACCTCACCGGAGGGTGTATAGTAGAAGGGAGAAAGTTGGAACATCAATATCCTCATGCCATTCAGGTAAAGTATAGGGGATCTTAGCACAGATTATTCTGTTTCCATGTTCCAACTTTCCGGGAGTCACTATGTGTAGATTTTGTAAGTGGCCTCTATACCAGCGATATGGAGCTTTGACGATAAAGCTACTCTATGCGTAGTAGTGATGAAGCGGTGAGTATACGAACAAAGGCAAGTATCGCTGATAGTAGAGGTAACAAGCATCAACACAACATGAGTAGCGTGATTAGACTAGTCGTAGCAATAGTAATCACAATCATGGCCATATCAACTTTACCTCAAAGCCGCAACCATTCACGTGCTATCCTTATCCTGTAACTGGTTGCTGTTCAGGCCCAAAGGCTCCATATATAGTACCATTATGGAATTAGGCCGCAAAAGACCATGCTTATTTTGGGGACCTAATTCCATAATGGTACTATGTATGGAGCCTCTAGGCAGGGATGCTGGCCAAGAATTAAATTCGCATCCATGAAGACCGGTCCGCTTCCTCCCTACCTATAGTCTCCATTGTAGTTCCTTTTTGGGGCTACCTTATAGGATCCTGGTTCTCTGGGTTTTGTTTTTATTTGGTCCAGGGTTCTTCGGGAGCTTTGATGATGGGGTGTTCGGGCTTCAGAGTCTCCGGGGTTGAGGATGGCAGCGAGGAGTACTTGAAGGCTCATGGGACTTAGTAAGTAAGGTTATAAGTAGGTTATAATTGGGATAACCCCACTTAGGGGACTTATAACCCCAAATATAACCTACTTACTAAGTCCCATGATCCTCTAAGTACACCGAGAACCCCCCCCCCCCCCCCCCCGCCACACACACGCAAATCCCGTGTGAACTGTAAGGCCCTGAGACCCATAATAAAACCAGAATATGTTTACCACATCCTGCGACCCCTTGGGTTTAGGAGAAACTGTGTGTAATATATATATATATATATACATATACATATACATATATATAACCGTATATAATTAAGACAGGAGCAAGCATGAGAAAAGAAATCGAGAGTTCAGTGGCTGAGCATGCCCAGATCCCTTGCCCCGATACCCTGCAAGCCCTAAATCCCAAAAAGAGGCTTATGAGGGTTTAGGGTTTAGGTTTAGAGTTTAGGTTTTAGGGTTTAAAGCTTTATGGCTCTACGCTTGGGCCTTTATTAGGGTTCCCGATATGAACCCCAATATTTTTCGCGTTATAGGGCCAGGGGGGTTTCCTCATCAGGTTCCTACGTTACTACAACTCATCGCGCTCGGTCTCCTGGTCTGCTGGAATCAGGCCTTGGCAAAGTCAAACTTGCTCGGGAGAAAGATGCCTTTCGAGGCGAGTGCTCCAGATGGCACGGGAGGGTCGGATGAAGAGTGGAATTGCCACGTGCAAATTCGGGCTGCTGCGCAGGACTTGCCTGGCAGTCGACGAAGATGTCGTCGCACGCGCCTTTCACAAGGCCACACCTGCCTCCTTCAATGACTTCAAGATCCAAGGTCGCCGCTGCGAGGTAGATGATCTGTTGGGTACGGCCCCCACTCAGTAATAGTTGAATAAAATTCATAATATAGATATAGTAGGACCTTAGTAGTAGCCCAATTATAGACTCTTACTGCATGGGGGCAGTACTTAAAGGATTATGGGACATAGTAATTGGTGTTATAAGTAAGGTAACTACACTGAGAACTACTTATAACCCCAAGTAAGGTACCTATATTATAGACTCTTACTGTATGGGGGCCGTACCTAAATGATCTGGGCCAGGGTGTCTTGAACCACCTCGGGGGCCGACTCCTCGAGGACAGGAGCAGGAAACCTGGGTTTAGGGTTTAGGGTTTAGGGGGAGCCAAGATCGCGACAGATCCTCACTTAGAGGATCATGGGACTTAGTAAGTAGGTTATAATTGGGGTTATAAGTCCCCGAAGTGGGGTTATCCCAATTATAACCTACTTATAATCTTACTTACTAAGTCCCATGAGCCTTCAAGCATGCTTGCAGATCAACTCAGATGCTTTTCATTCGGCAAGGTTTCTGCGGCCTGCAGCAAGGTCCAAACCTTGAGAGCCCCCAGCCCTAAACCTTAGAGGCTTTAGGCCTACAGCCCTACACAAACTCCCAGACCTAGAAAGCGTGGAACAGAAAAAACGTCATAAATTCACAGAATTCGTGTATTGGAACAGTCTACACGCTTGAAGCATTGTGTAAATAAAAAAACCCTACCTCCATGGCAGCACGCTTGATACCGCCAGATGCCGCGGCGTCGGCAGCGGCCCTGCCAAGAGATTCCCTTGTTGGGTTTGTTTTGAACGTGATGAGGCCTGGCACTGCACAGAGCTTGTTGTATCTATTGTTTTTGGCATGAGGTTGGAGCGTTCAAGGCTGGCCCTGCACGTACCGTAAAGCCTCTGAGCACTGTTCGTAAATAAGGTCCGCGTAAGGACAATAAGGGGAAATATGCTTCAAAAGGCCTCCCTGACAGAGCTATGGCGGTGCAACATTCATTTCCTCAGTTTCAGGACATTTCGGATGATTCCATAGGGTTGATAGCGGCAACCATGCCCAAAACGCTGGCATTTGCAGTTTTTTGGCCCTATATACAACATACTGTAGAGGGATGTTTGACATTTCTGGAAACAGCCGCACTGTCACAGGCACGCATGCCTTGTGCGAGCATGCCCAAGTCACCAGTGTTTGCTTCTGTGCACAGCATATTGCACAAGGGTATGGCGACGGTGATGATGATGATGATGATGATGATATGATGATATCTACACACACGGGTACTAGCAGACAGCATGGAACAAGATGCAGTAGGTTCCCATGATGCAAAAAACTACCTTTTCGTGTGGGACATCGTGTTAGGACCAGGGCTTCGCAGCCCTTCCATGTCATGTATGGAAAGTCACAAGGCGCCATAGTTCACACACTCGCCTTTGTAAGCTACCGCAGGGGTTTTCTGAAGTTGGGCTCTTAACCCACGGCTGCCAGCGGGCATGGGTTCAGAGCACAAAATGTTGGCGGCCAGGAACGAAATCAGCCATCCCCCCCACCCTCCCACGCCCCCACACCCCGCCCCCCTTCCCAAACTAAAGATCTTGGAGCGCCTAGAATTAGAACCCAATTCGGAAAACCTGCACAAAAAAGAGGGCAGTAACCTAGGTGCGTGTGTGTGGAGGTATGTGCCCGCACCCTTACCATGATAGTTTAGGGTCTGGGTTTAGGGAAAACGAATGAGCCAATGCAAGGGTTTGCAGATGCTTGATAAGATCTTCATAACTTTGCAAGAGTTTCATAGCGGTTGCATATACGAGGGTGTTCCATGGTTTTACGAGTGTTTCACCGGGGGTTATAGAGTTCAATATCACTGAATCAAGGGTACCTAATTGAGGCGTCGTGTATGCAGTGCGAATGCATTGCCAGGAACCTCAAACTTTAGGTTTGACGGCTGAGGGCTTAGGATTTTGGGGCTTAGGGCTCAAAGGGCTTCAGGTTTAGGGGTTGGGGTTTTGCCCCTAAACCCACAAACCAGAAGCCCCGAAAACGGCAGGCTTGCCAGAACAAAAACGAAAGTCGAGCGGCTTCTGCACGACGAACTCCTGCTCGTTTTTGTCCAGCTCCTGCAGGACTTAGGGGCTTGAGGGCCTCAGGGGCTTTGGGGTTCCCTTTAAGGGTTCCTTTAAGGGATCTACGAGGGTTACTATAAGGGTACTATAGGGATTTAGGGATGTGGGGCTTTAGGGGTTTAGGGGTTTAGGGTTTAGGGCTTAGGGTTTAGGACAGCTTCTTCGGAATTGCGGCTTGCAAAGAGATCCTGCTCGTGCAGGCTCGGATGACTACTTCGGGCCCCATAAACCCTAAACCCCTACTTGGAGGGGCAGGGGGCTTAGTAAGGGCTCTTAAAGGGCTCCTTAAAGGGATCCCAAAGGGATCTATGGGGTTTAGAGTTTAGGGTCTACTTAGAGGATCATGGGACTTAGTAAGTAGGTTATAAGTAGAGTTATAAGTACCCTAAATGGAGTTACCCCAATTATAACCCTACTTATAACCTACTTACTAAGTCCCCTGCCCTTCCAAGTAAACCCTAACAAAGGAGGTGCTTTTGCTTTGGATGGTATTTGGGATTTTGTTGGGAGGTGATTTGTGTTTTGGGTTGTATTGGGGTTTCGGCGTGGGATTTGGGAGGCGCTTGCGTATTGTGGTTTTGGTAAGGTTGAATTCGTAGGCGGATTGAGAAATGGGGTGAAAGTGTCGGGGGGGTATAGGATGTGAGGTGTGGGGTCAGCCATTGCTTGCTTGTTTAAGGGCTCTTTAAAGCCCGCCCCCCGCCCCTAAACCCTAAACCCTAAAACCCCCCGCCCCCCCCTACGCACGCGCCTTCTCGGCCTTGGCGTTCTTGTGGTCCATCAACCGGTCGGCGAGTTTGCGCATCCTTGGGTTTAGGGTTGAGGGTTTAGGGTAAGGGTTTAGAGTTTAGGGTTTAGGGTTTAGGGTTTAGGGTTTAGGGTTTAGGGTTTTGCATATTGGCAGAGGGGGTTTCGGAGTTTAATTTCCATTCAGTGCTGGTTTTAGGACTTAGGGTGCTTACAAGGCCCTTGTAGATTTCTACAGGTTGCATGGGGGTTCCTGCAGCCTCGATGAGGCTAAAGCGGGTCTTATCATGTTGTAAGGTTTAGCGTCCCCAGAGGCACACTACCATCATCTCACAAAAGACCATCCTAATAATGGTTTTGGGTGACCTGACTTCAGAATGGTAGTATATATGGACGGTCCAGAGATCAAGAATTCAGGGTCTAGGATGTTCGGTACTGGCTTACGGATTTAGGGCTTAGGGCGCAAGGCTCGGAGTACGAAAACAAACTGACAAATCGCTCACACCCTCTAAAACCCTAAACTTCCCCAAACCCTAAACCCTAAACCCTAAACTTCCTAAAACCCTAAACTTCCTAAAACCCTAAACCCTAAACCCTAAACTTCCCCAAACCCTAAACCCTAAACCCTAAACTTCCTAAAACCCTAAACTTCCTAAAACCCTAAACCCTAAACCCTAAATTTCCCAAAACCCTAAACTTCCCCAAACCCTAAACCCTAAACCCTAAACTTCCTAAAACCCTAAACTTCCTAAAACCCTAAACTTCCTAAAACCCTAAACTTCCTAAAAGCCTAAACCCTAAACCCTAAACTTCCTAAAACCCTAAACTTCCCCAAACCCTAAACCCTAAACCCTAAACTTCCTAAAACCTTAAACTTCCTAAAACCCTAAACTTCCTAAAACCCTAAACTTCCTAAAAGCCTAAACCCTAAACCCTAAACTTCCTAAAACCCTAAACACCGAATCACGAAGACGCCGTCATGAAACCGAAGGAGCGGTCTGAAACTGCAGGACCCCCCAGGGAGCCCAATACCCCTTAATCATAGGGATCCTTAGGGGTGTAGGGGGGAGGGGTGTAGGGGACTATATTTCCTTAAATAGGCCTTATTAGTCCTTATTATGGGCCTTAAGGCCCCCTACCCCCCCTCCCCCTACAAACCCCCCCCCAAAAAAAAGCCTCAAAAAGGTGTCCTTTAAGGGCTCCTTTAAGGGTTCCTTTAAGGGCTCCTTGAAGGGCTCCTTTAAGGGTTACATACTAGGGCTCATAGAAAGAGCCCCAATGAAAACCCAGGGTTTCTTAACTAATCGGGTTCGTAGAATTATTACCATGCAGGTCGCTCGGCTTGGATCTTCTGAATCTCCTCTTCCTGTCGCGCTTCGCCAACTCAACCACAAGCTAAATCGTGGATTTGAGGTTTGGGTATGTTCGCGCTCAAGAGGCTTTTAGGGTTCATGGCTTCAGGTTTTGAGTTCAAGCTTCAGGGCTCTATAGTAGAAGCCAGAAAGTTGGAACATCATTGTCCCCATGCCCTTAAGGGAAAGTATAAGGGATCCTAGCACTAATCATCCTAATTCCATGTTCCAACTTTCTGGGGTTCACTATAGGATGTCAGGCCTGCAGGGGTTTAGGATTTAGAGCGTGTCGATGCTCAGAAGCGTGTTGTGGTGCGCGCCTGAGTTCACGTTCCTGCCCCCCAACCCCGCCACCCCCAACCCCCCCCCCCTCCCGTCCAGTTTATGACGCCTCGCGGGTTTAGACTTCGATTTTCCCAACTGCATGAGCTTTGTGCACGAAAGTGTGAACCTGGGCTCGGAATCCTAAGGCATGCATGGAAGCTGCATAGAAAGTTGCTTGCAAACCACGTTTTTTCAGACTACAGGGAACCTCAGCAGACCCGCCTAAAGCTCGCAAGAACCTTTATACGCCCCATAAAAACACCAAGACATACCATACCTTGCCTGACTTTACGGATCATGGGACTTAGTAACAAACAGTTATGAACAAGGAAGTTGTACTTAAAACTACTTATGACCTCAGCTCCAAACTCCTGACGGTAATTATTACTAAGTCCGATGATCCTCCAAGTAAAAAAACTAAACCTTAAAACGCCAAACCCTAACCCACAAAACCCGGAACGACCATGGACGCTACATACTAAAAGCCCTAGCCCATAAACCCCAACCCTAAAGCTTAGAGGCATAAACTCCAAATCCTACAGCACTAAAACCCCCACATCATAAAGCCCTAAGCCTGTGAACCCCTAAAGCTTTACAGGAATCTGTTGAGAAATCCTTAAACGGAACGCCCTTACAGGAACCCCTTATAGTACCCGAACCTGAACCCTTTAAAGGTTGCCTACTCCCCGACCCTAAACCCTAAACCCCTAAGCCCTAAACCCTAAACCCCAAACCCCAAACCCCTCGAACCCTAAACGCTAAACCCCTGAGGGGTTCCTTTGAAGGCTGCTTTAAGGGCGTCCTTCCTGGCTTTAAGGGCTTCCTTTATAGGAACCCCCGGCGCCTCATCCTGGACTGCCTTCACCTTCTGCTCCAAATCCTTCTCGGCCTTAGCAGTGGTGTAGGACTTAGGGTAGGGACTTCCTTAAAGGGATCCTTAAAGGGAGCTATAGGGTTCCTTAGAGGGATCCCAAAAAGAATCCTTAGGTTTAGGGTCCTATAAGGTTTAGGGTTTAGGCTGTAGGGGTTTATGGTTTAGGGTTTAGAGGGCTTAAATGGTTTAGGGGCTCTACTTGGAGGTTCATGGGCAGTTATAAGTAGGGTTACAAGTAGGGTAGCTATAGTTATAACCCATACTGCGCCGGTCCGAAAGTTCGTCGCACTCTATGTTGTCCACTTAGAACATGTGTGTTCAAGACCCCTTTTCCCCGTAGACTCCTCCAGAAGTCCTCCGCCGGGAACAATTATCAGAAGTCCTCCGCCGGGAACAATTATAGTACTATAATTTCATTCCCGGATGATAATTCCTCCGCTGGGCAGGCTAGGGTATTCCGCACATCCCGTACTCCGCGTACTCCGTTCCGTGTTGCTAGCGGATGCGACGAAACTTTAGTACCGGACATGCTCATGGAAAAGAGTTTTGGACTGAAAGCGTCGCTGCAAGAGACCCTCATGCAGCTCTGTATGTAGTGGCACATCTACACGAAAGCCACGGTCTCACTTCTGCCCCACGAGACGCACCCGAATCCATGCTGCTCATGGAAAAGAGTTTTGGTTTCACTTCTGCCCCACGAGACGCACCCGAATCCATGCTGCTCATGGAAAAGAGTTTTGGACTGAAAGCGTCGCTGCAAGAGACCCTCATGCAGCTCTGTATGTAGTGGCACATCTACACGAAAGCCACGGTTTCACTTCTGCCCCACGAGACGCACCCGAATCCATGCTGCTCATGGAAAAGAGTTTTGGTTTCACTTCTGCCCCACGAGACGCACCCGAATCCATGCTGCGCCGGTCCGAAAGTTCGTCGCACTCTATGTTGTCCACTTAGAACATGTGTGTTCAAGACCCCTTTTCCCCGTAGACTCCTCCAGAAGTCCTCCGCCGGGAACAATTATCAGAAGTCCTCCGCCGGGAACAATTATAGTACTTATCAGAAGTCCTCCGCCGGGAACAATTATAGTACTATAATTTCATTCCCGGATGATAATTCCTCCGCTGGGCAGGCTAGGGTATTCCGCACATCCCGTACTCCGCGTACTCCGTTCCGTGTTGCTAGCGGATGCGACGAAACTTTAGTACCGGACATGCTCATGGAAAAGAGTTTTGGACTGAAAGCGTCGCTGCAAGAGACCCTCATGCAGCTCTGTATGTAGTGGCACATCTACACGAAAGCCACGGTTTCACTTCTGCCCCACGAGACGCACCCGAATCCATGCTGCTCATGGAAAAGAGTTTTGGTTTCACTTCTGCCCCACGAGACGCACCCGAATCCATGCTGCTCATGGAAAAGAGTTTTGGACTGAAAGCGTCGCTGCAAGAGACCCTCATGCAGCTCTGTATGTAGTGGCACATCTACACGAAAGCCACGGTTTCACTTCTGCCCCACGAGACGCACCCGAATCCATGCTGCTCATGGAAAAGAGTTTTGGTTTCACTTCTGCCCCACGAGACGCACCCGAATCCATGCTGCGCCGGTCCGAAAGTTCGTCGCACTCTATGTTGTCCACTTAGAACATGTGTGTTCAAGACCCCTTTTCCCCGTAGACTCCTCCAGAAGTCCTCCGCCGGGAACAATTATCAGAAGTCCTCCGCCGGGAACAATTATAGTACTATAATTTCATTCCCGGATGATAATTCCTCCGCTGGGCAGGCTAGGGTATTCCGCACATCCCGTACTCCGCGTACTCCGTTCCGTGTTGCTAGCGGATGCGACGAAACTTTAGTACCGGACATGCTCATGGAAAAGAGTTTTGGACTGAAAGCGTCGCTGCAAGAGACCCTCATGCAGCTCTGTATGTAGTGGCACATCTACACGAAAGCCACGGTCTCACTTCTGCCCCACGAGACGCACCCGAATCCATGCTGCTCATGGAAAAGAGTTTTGGTTTCACTTCTGCCCCACGAGACGCACCCGAATCCATGCTGCTCATGGAAAAGAGTTTTGGACTGAAAGCGTCGCTGCAAGAGACCCTCATGCAGCTCTGTATGTAGTGGCACATCTACACGAAAGCCACGGTTTCACTTCTGCCCCACGAGACGCACCCGAATCCATGCTGCTCATGGAAAAGAGTTTTGGTTTCACTTCTGCCCCACGAGACGCACCCGAATCCATGCTGCGCCGGTCCGAAAGTTCGTCGCACTCTATGTTGTCCACTTAGAACATGTGTGTTCAAGACCCCTTTTCCCCGTAGACTCCTCCAGAAGTCCTCCGCCGGGAACAATCCTATCAGAAGTCCTCCGCCGGGAACAATTATAGTACTATAATTTCATTCCCGGATGATAATTCCTCCGCTGGGCAGGCTAGGGTATTCCGCACATCCCGTACTCCGCGTACTCCGTTCCGTGTTGCTAGCGGATGCGACGAAACTTTAGTACCGGACATGTATTGGGGAGTTAACCCTTATAACTACCCTGAACCTCCAAGTAGGGGGCTCCTTCAGGGGATCTTTAGGGTTCCTTAAAGGGATCCTAGAATTAAAGGGTTTAGGGATTTGGGATTTCCCAGAGAGCCCAATACCCCTTAATTAGGGAATATAGCTTAAATCATAATATGAAGCCCCTAATGGTTTAAGGTATTCCCGAAACCCTAAACCCTATAGATCCCTTAAAGGATCCCCTCAAAGGAACCCTAGGTATTCCTTAATTAAGGGGTGTTGGGCTCTCTGGGTTAAGGACTTCAGGCTTTAGGGGCTCCGGCCCGGCTTCGGCTTTAGGGACTTAGGGCTCCAGGGCTTAGGGCTTAGGGTTTGGGGTGTAAGGTTTAGGGACTTGGGGTGAGGGGTTTAGGGTTTAGGGTTTGGGGGGGTTTACGGTTTAGGGATTTAAGGTGTATATAGGGTTTCGGCAGTCTAGGACATTTGACAGGGTTCTGCAAGGATTTACGACGGGTTCCGGAAGGGACCTAATAGGTTTTATAGGCTTACGGTAAAGCCGAGAGTTCAGTTTACGGCTGAGTTTTGGTGGTGGGCCGTTCTTAAATTTTCGAGCTTCTCGCTTCTCTCTAGGGCTTTGAACTTGGAGCTCGTTTTGAGGCCTAGAGTTTCTTGTGGGTTAGGCTTCTACGTTTGGGATGGAAGCGTAGAGTGCGTCCAGATTTTCGACAAGGGTTGAGGATTTCAGGTTCTTGCTTGGAGGCTTCTTCCTAGGCGTCTTAGGGTACCGAAGTCGGGACTGTTCTTTAAACTCTATGGTTTAGGACTTGAGGCTTAGGGGACGTCTAACCCCCGTCATAACCTATGTAATAAGTCCCTTCAGACTCTCTGTGGGGATTTGAGATCCCTGAGCCTCTAAGGGTTTCGGGCTCAAGGTCTAGGGATGCCCCCGCCTACCCAGGCTTGCAAAAAGTTCAGCGAAACTTGTTACCCCCCTTCCCAACCTCATGCAATGCGGGTAGGAGCCTCCGATTCGATTGTCAAAGTCACACTCTTCCGGGTGTATACCATACTTACGAGACCCCGCTCTAAAGTGCTGGCAGAACCCTTTCCTTGTGACTTACCAAATATGCGCTTCTCTGGGTGTAGTCAAAGTCACCGTCCCAAGTTTCCGGACCTGCTCTTGGTCATGGCTCTGAACTTGTGCTGTCGGTGCATGGATTGGAAAAGCGGCTGCAGCCAGTCCCGCCATGTTGCGTGACTGCCTCCCGATGTCAGCAACTCGACTGTTGCATTGCAAAAGCGTTCCATGATCTGGCTCAGCAGCTGCCCGTCATAGTGATTGGGGTAAACCGAACGCTCCTGTACGGCCGCGACATCCAAGTAGCAAGCTCGAGCCCAAGTCTACGAGCAAGGTTTCGTTGATGATCCTCTGCTGCAGATTTTGGCTGCGACTGTTGATGGACAAAATCCTGCATTACCCATTATAAGAAATATACCATAGTTCCCATAGTTTAGTTTCCTTAGGATCATGCCGGATTTTGTCCATCAACAGGATGTTGCAAGCCTCTCTCAGTTGAAGTGGAGCTCTTGCGAAACGACGCGGGCTTCTCGGATTAGGGCTTAATGTTCAGGGTGCCGTATATCGGATTAGGGCTTAATGTTCAGGGTGCCGTATAGAGCTACGGGTATGCTTGAGAACTCGATCTTCCAGATCCTGCTATCTCAGGCCAGCTCGCAATCCCTGAACCGCATAACCCAAAACCCTGACACCCAAAGGTCCTTCACTCTGAAATCCTGAACCTTAACACCCGAACCCCCAAAAACCCAGAATATAGGTCCACTTAGCGAAAGCTGTACAGCACCATTAAAGGAACCCAGAGAGCCCAATATCCCTTAATTAAGGAATATAGCTAAACGCATAATATGAAGCCCCTAAACCCTAAACCCTAAACCCTAAACCCTAAACCCTAAACGCATAATATGAAGCCCCTAAGGATTCATGCAGAGCCCAAGACCCCACCAGGCCCAAAACCCTACCCAAAACGAACACGACCTACTTTCTTCCATGGTCCCTACCAATTCTATAGCATTCTGCAGTCGAGTTTCTCATAAGAACCTACGAGACAGTAGCTCCCTAAACCCAAGCCCGAAACCCTAAACCCCAAGCCCAAAAGCCTAAACCCCAAGCCCTAAACCCCAAAACCCCAGCCCAAAACCCTAAACCCCAAGCCCTAAACCCCAAAACCCCAGCCCAAAACCCTAAACCCCAAGCCCTGAACCCCAAGCCCTAAACCCAGAGAAAAAGCCCAAAAGCTACCGGAAGATCTGATCTGAAAGAAGGCGAGGAACAGCCCGCCAAGCCGCTTGCTCCTTCCCAGAAAGCCCAATACCCCTTAATTAAGGAGTATACCTTAAATCATATAGGACCTAGGTTTAAGGGATCTATAGAGCTTTGGGTTTAGGGTTAAGGAATAGACCTTCAACCATTAGGGGCCTCATATTATGATGTAAGCTATATTCCCTAATTAAGGGATATTGGGCTCTCTGGGTTCTCGTCTTGAGACCCAAAACCCTAAACCCCAGGTGTTGGGAGGGGTTTATAGGGTTTCTTTCAAGGGATAAGGTTTCTGTAGGGGACCTTTCGGGGCTTTCGGGGTTTAGGGCTTTAGGGTTTAATGTAGGAACCTGATTGAGAAACCTGGGGCCTAGAAACCCAGAAATAATAGGGCTCATTTAAAGAACCCTAATGAAGGCGCAAGGTTTCTTAATCAGGTTCCTACATTAGGCTCTAGGGTCTTTGAGTGGTTCGCGCTTTGGGTTTGAGTCAGGGCCTACAGAGTTTGCGGGTACGGAGATTGGCGCTTGCGTGCACCCTGGATCAGAAATCCCTGTGCGGGCACGGTGCGTGCAAAGCTGCCTCGACTTTGGGGTCTGTTGTGGCCATCTGTATGCCCCTAACGCCCACATATGCAGACCCCCCAAAGGCCCCATATGTAGAGTTGAGTGTTTAAGCTTTGGGATGGAGCTTTATCTGCGGATTTGGGTTCAGCGTTTAGGGCTTCGCGTTGCCGGTTGCGTTCTTAGCTGAGGTTGAAACGTTAAGGCTTCCGGGTTTTGGGCTGGCACTAACCTTCTCGCCGAAATGCTTAGGGTTTAGGGTTTAGGGTATAGGGTTTAGGGTTTAGGGTTTAGGGTATAGGGTTTAGGGTTTAGGGTTTAGGGAAGCCAAACCACACATGCTCGTTCGAGACCATGACCACACCAGCCTCCTTCACTGGTGGGGCATCGCTTTTCAAGATGTCGAGACCAATCGTGGCGAAGAAAAGCAAGGGACCGTCGATCCTGCTGTCCAGTGGAGACCGCCAAAGGCCACACACGGACTGATGGAGAGGAAGTAGGGCCTTGACTGTAGGGATTCAGGTTTAGTGTTGAAGTTGATGATCTAAATGAACCCTAAGCCCTAAACCCGATGGTTCAAAGTTGAGGGGTAGCGTTTCTTCGGTTATGCTGCTTTCGGGCCGAAACTCGGCACCGAAGGGTCCCAAGCTGTCCCGAAAAGGCGGCCAAACTGATCCCCGACAACACGCCCCGAGGTTGGAGAATCAACTTGGGGATTACGGTTTAGAGTTTAGAGTTTAAGGTTCAGGCTTTGGGCTTAGGTTTTGAGTTTTTCTCAGCATTTGGTTACGGACTGAGGGTTTAGGGTTCGGGCTTAGAATGCGGGCTTAGGGCTCGCTTTTATAGTTAGCGACGTAGGGTTGGTCTTTGGGTCAGGCTTTGGGGTAAGAGGCGTTTGGGTCTACGGTGCAGGGCCTTGGGCTTTTGGGTCTAGGAGTCTAGAGCTCAAAGGGTTCCGGGTTTATGCTCGCACAGCACACGTCAAAACTAAACCCTGAACTGCACACCCGCAATCCTAAACGACTTCGACCCTGAACCCTGGACCCCAAATCCTGGTACTCTAAATCAAGCCGCTGACTTGGCCCTCACCTCCAGTTAAGCCCCAAAACATCCCAAAACCCTCACTCCAGCCCCCAGGCCCCAAACCCCTTAATCTCTGACGCCCCAAACCCAAAGCACCAAAGCCCGATTATCTGGAACCACTTTAAAACGCTTGCCCCTACAGAACCCTTACAGCTATTCTTGTCTGAAGCCTCTATAGCAATATAGATCCTTCTAAAGGCCCTACGAAAGCCTTCAAAAACCCACATAAAGGCCCTTTAAACCCTCAACCCGAAACCTCAAATCCTGAACCCTAAACTCTCTAAAGGAACTTATAGGACCCCCTGACAGAACCCTTAGACCCAGAGAGCCCAATACCCCTTTATGAAGGAATATAGCTTAAATCATCATATGAAGCCCAAAATGATTTCAGGTATATGCCTCAATCAAAGGGCTATTGGGCTCTCTGGGGAGCCCTTAAAGCAGCCTTGAAGCCCTCAACCCTAAACCTCAAATCCTGAACCCTAAACTCTCTAAAGGAACTTATAGGACCCCCTAACCCCTAAACCCTAAACCCTTAGAGCCCTTAAAGCAACCCTTAAACCCTCCAAACCCTAAACCCTAAAGCCTGAAACCCTCCAAAGGCCGGGAAAAGGCGCCTGCTTGTCGTTCTCGGCAGCCTTGGCGGCCTCGACCCGCATCTTCTCCAACCTAAGAAACTCCAGGCTTCTGAGGTTTAGGGATTTAGGGGTTTAGGGGTTTAGTAAGGGGTTTAGGGATTTAGGGGTTGAGGGGCTTAATTTTTTGTTGTAAGGGCCCTAAACCCTAAGAAACTCCAGGCTTCCAGGGGTTTAGGGCTTTTGGGGTTTAGGGTTTACCTGGACCCTACGGAACCTACCTTTTTAGGGTTCCCTACTATGATTTCTTTATATCAGTCCTTAAAAAGGTAGGTTACTGGGGTTAAGGTAGGGTTTAGGGATTTAGGGATTTAGGGGGTTAGGGTTTAAGGCTTCAAGGGTTGAAACCATGGGCCCCTAGTATGGGCCCTGAACCCCGGGATCCTTATATACCTACCATATCCCCTGTCTTTTTTTGGGGCCCTTATAGGGGCCCATACTTCTAACCTCAGAACCTAAGAAAGTCCAGGCTTCCAGGGCTTGGGGATTTAGGGGTTTAGGGGTTTAGTAAGGGGTTTGTTTTAAGGGTTTTGGTGCTTTGGAGCTTTAAGGATTTAGGGTTTAGGGTTTAGGGTTTTGGGGCTTTGGAGCTTTAAGGATTTAGGGTTTAGGGTTTAGGGGTTTAGGGGTTTAGGGTTTAGGGGTTTAGGGTTTAGGGTTTAGGGGTTAGGGTTCTGGGGTTTAGGAATCAAGGTCTACGGGTTTTTTTCAATCAGCGGACCTGTTCTGCGAGCCAGCTAGCCTGGTAGTGTGAGACAGAAAGCAACGAGAACATCGCGAAGCACTTACACTACTATTTGCTTAAGAACCCCCAAAAAATAAAAAAAAATATATATATATATATATTCCTTATAGGGATAAATAATATAGGGATTATCATTTTTTATTTTTTTGGGGGGGTTCTTAAGCAAACAGTAGTACAGCCGCTAAGCCCTGAAAACCCAAGAGCCCCTTCGGCGAAGCAACGAGCCCTTGAAGCCCCCAAACACCTGAAACCCTAAACCCTACACCCTACTTGGAGGCCCTTTTGACTTAGTAAGTAGGGTTAGTAAGGTGGGTTATGGGGATTATAATAGGGTTTCTAGGGGATACTAAGTAGACTTACTAAGTCAACAGGGCCTCCAAGTAAACGTAAACCCTGAACCCCCTTCAACCCTACACCCTGAACCCCCTGAACACCTGAAACCCTAAACCCAGAACCCTGTACCCTACACCCTAAACCCAGAACCCTGTACCCTACACCCTAAACCCAGAACCCAACACCCTACACCCTAAACCCAGAACCCTACACCCAGAACCCTAAACCCAGAACCCTATACCCAGAACCCTACACCCTAGACCCAGAACCCTACACCCAGAACCCTTCCGGCCAGCCCCAAGCCTGAACACCTTCTGGACCCGACAGACAAACCGCTGAAAAAAAAAAGCATCGAACTCGATTGAGCCCTTGCTTGGAGGTGGTAGGGTTATAAGGGGCTTAGGGTTCCTTTGAAGGGATCTACAGGGTTTAGGGATTTAGGGTTTAGGGTAGTTAGCCCTTGCAGAATCCTTAGCAAAACCATAAAAAGCCCTTATCAAGTCCTACGAACTCTTTTAGGACCCTTTTTGAATCCTGAAACCCTCATTCAAAGACCTACAAAGTCGCTTAGGACGTACCAGAGCCCTTTCAACAAATCCTGTTTTCTCACCCACATACTAAACCCTAAACCCTAAAAACCCTTTTAAACCCTAAACCCCTGAATCCCTAAAAACCTATAACTACTTGAAGGATCATGGGACTTAGCAATTTAGGGTTCCTTAAACGGCTCCTTAAAGGGATCTATAGGGTTCCTTAAAGGGCTCCTTAAAGGGATCTACAGGGTTCCTTAAAGGGCTCCTTAAAGGGATCTACAGGGTTCCTTAAAGGGACCTTTTTCTTCACTACCTGCAATCCGAGAAGCCGGTCCTTCCCCTCCTCGAGCTCCTTCCAGCTAAGGGAGTTTAGGATTTAGGGGTTCAGGGGTTTATGGGTTGAAGGGTTTAGGGCTTAAGGGTTTAAGGTTTAGGGGTTTAGGGATTCAGGGGTTTATGGGTTGAGGGGTTCAGGGGTTTAGGGTTTAGGGGTTTAGGGTTCTTGAGGCGTTCGTTCTTAAAGTCTTTTGTTCAGGGTGTCTAAGGCGCTCCTTTTGAGGGGTTCTTAAGGGTTCATGCGGCTGCTATGAGAGTCATGTAAGGGGTGCTTCGCAGGTTCTGTCAGGGTAGGGAACCCTCAACCCTTACACAACTCCGCTCACAACTACCCATGGACAAGGACTTATAACCCCACTTATAACTGCCCGAAACTCTGAACCCCTAAACCCTAAACCCTGTAGAACCCTCAAGGGCACCCTAAACCGTGTCATAACCCCACTGAAAACTACCCATGAACCTCCGAGTTCCTGAGGGACAAGGATGCAGGGTCTTGGCCCACGGTTTAGAGTTTAGGGTTTAGGGTTTAGGGTTTAGGGTTTAGGGTTTAGGGGGCCAATGCTTCAAGCTCAGTTCAACGACTTGGTCCTCACATGGCTTTTCGGGATTAGGGATTAGGTTTTTTTTGGAATGCCTTTTGCCCCCTAGCAGTTAAGGTCGGCGGAATCCACGATTAGGGATTCAGGGATTAGGGGTGTAGGGGATTAGGGTTTGGGATTAGGGTGTAGAGTTTAGGGAAGCTCAAGAAGCTCATAATATGGACAAGGTTTTAGTCGTGGCTCCCTCTGCCTGCCTTGAGGTCCATGGGTAGTTATAAGTGGGGTTATAAGTCTTCTAATATGGGTTACGAGTATAGTTACCCTACTTATAACCCTGTCTATAATTACCCATGAAACTCCAAGTATTGGAAGTCTGGAAGAGCTGCAAAACTCAAAGCTGCACTGCCTCTCGTAGCAGTTCACCCTCGTCGCAAGTGTTGTCGAAGTGGCACTAGTCTGCCTCCATCGTGGGCACACCCCAGGTAGGCCGGCGATAGCCTGCTCCGCGACGAGGGCATGTGTCGCCCTCTTGAAGCTTGGAGGGTCGGTGGGGCACTTAGTAAGTAGGTCATAAGTAGAGTGATAAGTACCCTAGCTGGAGATCCCAATTAGGTTCGGTTATGATACTTACAACAAAAAAAATTAACAAGTAGGGAACTAATGATCAGGCAGAGCTATAAGTACCCTACTACTTGGGTTATGATGCTTGCAAATAAAAAATTAGCTACTTGCTAAGTCCCCCCTAAACCCTAGACCCTAAACCCTAAACCCTAAACCCCTAAACCCTAAACCCTAAACCGAGGGGTCTGCAATCGGCCTCTGACTGGGCAGCAGCCGGTATGCCTTTTCTCGATTCGTCGCAGAAACGGACAGACAACTCTGGGTTTCTTCTGCGGTTTCGGGATTAGGGTTTACCCTAAACCCTAAACCCAATAGAGAGTATCCCGTTTAGGGTTCAGGGTTTAGGGTGTATAGTGGCCCCTATAAACCAACTGCAGGTTCCTTAGTGCTTCAGGCTTCAGGGTTTTCGGTTTGGGCTTAGGGTTGAAAGCCCCTGATCACCCCTAAACCCGCAACTCCCTAAACCCTAAACCCTAAACCCTAAACCCTAAACCCTAAACCCTAAACCCTAAACCCTAAACCATCAAACCCTAAGCCCTAAGCCTCGAAACTCTAAGCCCTACATCCTAAACCTGAAGCCGCGAACCCCAAAGCCCAAAACTTGAACCCTACATCCCATACTTAGAGGATCGTGGGACTTAGTAACTAGGGTCAACATTAAGGTAACTATACTTATAACTACTTATAACCCCAATTAAGGTACTTATAACCATACTTACTAAGTCCTATGATCCTCCAAGTACCCAGAGACTCCAATATCCCTTAATTAAGGAATATTCCTTAAATTATAGTAGGATCCCTAATATGGTTTAAGGAATATTCCTTAATTAAGGGATATTGGTGTCTCTGGGTACCCGAAACCCTCACCCCCCGAGCCCCTCAGTCCTTGAGCATCTTCTCCGCGGCCCCCTTCTGCCTTTCGGCCTTTTGATTTAGGGTTTAGGGTTTAGGGTTTAGGGTTTAGGGTTTAGGGTTTAGGGTTTAGGGTTTAGGTTTGAGGTATATTCTAGTATTGTTGCAAGGATAGGGAACTACAGTAAATTTTACAGTGTCCGGTTTATGGCAACTTCAACTCCCCTACCCTAAACCCTCCTTGACAAGAACCCAGCCAGGCTTCGCTGGCCTCCCGATTTTGGGCAGCTTCGGGAGAACCCCTTGTTTGCAACTCAGGGCTTAAGGGTTTAGGGTTCTTGCAGGTTCAGGGGTAGTTATCAGTCTGGTTATAGGTAGGATTAGTAACTGTTGGTAACTATACACATATGACCCTTGTAGCTATGAGTCTGGTTATGAGTCTAGGGCAAGTAACTGTACTTATGACCCATATTCGAGGACTAAAATCACTAAAAGGATCTCCCAAGCGCCCTTCCCTCTACCGTGGGTATTGGGGTATGTTTGAGGGTAGTTGGGCTCCCAGCAGGAACAGCTTACAGACCTCCCCGTCCCGTCGACCGGCAGAGTTCGCTGAATGACCCGGTCTAGGGCTTAGGCCTGACATTTCTATACGGGTTTTAATGGCTCTTCTGACATAGAAAAAGGGGTGCCAAGTTTCCAAGATGGGCTACGGGAAACTTCTGAAAAGGTCAAGCACGGCACAACCTAAGGGTGGTTGTCAAAATTAGGTCCCTTTTTGGGTCCCAATATTTAGGGTACCCCCTATACGTAGTCTTACAACATCGGAAGAGTCTACAAGTAGATAACAGCACTGACCCCAACGGCCGAAGAGGTTCCAAAGCAGCTAAGCTTGGAACCTCAATCCTCCTCGCGCCCGTCTAGGCTTTAGGGCTCAGGTTCATGGTTTGGGGTTTAGGTTTTAGGATTTGGGGTTTCGGGTTTACGGCGTAGGATTAGGATTAATGAAAGGTGTCCGTGTAACCAGGAAGGTAGTATGGTTGCCGTTACATTTTTGCAATGGCAGGTTTGAAAGAGACACCAACTTGTAACAAAATATCAATCTGGATCAAGAAATGATCACGTTTGCATACTTCTTGGCAACCAGCATGTGGACAGTAATCCTACCCCGCCTCTGAAGCCTTGTCCGCAGCAGCCGCGGATGCGTTCGTGGCGTTGTCCTTCTTCCTGTGCCAGCTTTTGGGCTTGAAGGCACCCGCCCTCTCAGGCCGTAAACCCCACCAGGCCCTGGCCCAAACCTCCCCACCATTTGGGCCTTAATAATTAGAATGGGGTTTGGGGTATATTATGCTAAAACTATAATAAGAACCCCCAAAATGCTGTTGGCAATTATTTGGACCCCTATATTAAACCCTAAAGCCCCATGCTGTAGCCTTTAGCGTTTAATGTGGGAACCTGATTAAGAAACCCTGGGCCTAAAACCCCAAAATAGTAGGACTCATACAAGGAACCCTAATAAAGGCCCAAGTTCTCTTAATCGGGTTCCCATCTTATGGCTGCTTGCACCTTGGAGGCTGCTGGGAGCGAAATGTGCAGCGATTGAGGCATTCTAACTCCTTGCAAACACAACCCCAAACCAACGGCACTAGGGGCCTCAATAATTAGAATACGGTTCTTTTAAGGGCTTTTTAAAGCGTTCTTTAAGGAATCTATAATAGGATCTTGGTATAGGGGCCTTAATAATTAGAATGTGGCTTTGGGGGGGGTATATCATACTATACTTACAATAAGGAAACCGCAAAAAGTATAGTACAGCTAGGTATTGAGGCCCCTACATTAAAAGATCCGCCCGTGTACCATGCCGCATGTAGTAGGAGTTCTGTTCATGGGCTTCAGGGTCAATGTAATCAAAGGATTGAGGCTTTGTGGTTGCAGAGGTTCTTAGCGTCTTAGAGCTTTGAGTCATGCGGCCTCAGGGATCACGGTTTATGGCTTGAGACCTTACTTGGAGGGGCAGGGAACTTAGTAAGTCGTTTATAAGTAGGGCTATAATTGCGGTAACTCCATTTAGGGTACTTATAACTCTACTCCCAACCTACTTACTAAGTCCCCTGCCTCTCCAAGTAGACCCTAAACCCTAGGCCTCATAGATTCCTTTAAGGAACCCTATAGATCCCTTTAAGGAGCCCTTTTAAGAGCTCTTACTAAGTCCCCTGCCTCTCCAAGTAGGCTTTTGGATATACGGGGGCCCAGGGGTTTAGGGCTAAGGATTTGGGACTCGAGGCTGGGGGTTCTGGGAATTTGAAACTCCTGGCTTCCAGGGTTCTAGGTTTTTTTTTTAAAGCTCCCTTTTTAATGTCTGCCAGGGTTCTAGGTTTAAGGTTCAAGGCTTCTGGGGTTTAGGGCTTAGGGTTTAAGGTTTATAGGGTTTAGGGCTTCTGGGGCTTGTAGGGCTTGTAGGGTTTAGGGTTTAGGGCTTAGGGCTTATAGGGTTTAGGATTTATAGGGCTTCTAGGATCTATGCACGGCTTACTAAGGCTCCCTCAAAGCCGAGTGTCCGCCAAGGGGCGATCTATATTGGTGCCCTTTGTCATGGTCTCACATGGGTAGTTGTCAAAATTAGGGTCCCTTCTTGGGTACCCAAAGTAGTAGGTGCCAGAAATGGACTATGATTTTGACAACCACGCAAATAATGGAGCAGGCTTTGTGGGCACCTAATGCAGGAATACGACTTGAACATTCATGGCTGATGGCTATCTAGCCTCCCAATGTAGTAAAATCGAACCGCATTACCGATGAGCATCGTGAAAGCTGCACTGCTATCATGTGCTTATGCGTGCTCTTACGACGTCGCGAAGCACTGTCATACATTACTGTGATTCCGACGGCGATCATGAGGATATTCCATGTTAAAACTGCAGGCCTTTAAAAAGGAAAAAAGAAACACATAAACCCTGAACCAAGAACCCTACACCCTGAACCCTAAACCCTGAACCCTAAGCCCTTATAGATCCCTTGTTGGATCCCTTCAAGGAACCCCCTATCTTAGAGATTCCTTCTGGCATCCCTTCAACGAACCCCTGAAGTTTCAACCCGGGGTTGGAGCCAAGCATCTCTTCCGCGACTTTCATCGCGTCCGCGGAATAGCGGAGGGCGCGCCGGATGGCCTTTTAGCTTAGAGTTCAGAGTTTAGGGTGCCTTTTTGTTTTCTTTAGGGGCCTCTTGTCGATCTGCAGAGTGCGTCAGGGTTTAGGGGTTTAGAGTTCAGAGTTTAGGGTTTGGGCTTTGGCTTGGGGTCAGGGTTTTGCAGGATCTGGTGGAGTTAAAATTGAAAGCCGTGCGACATAAGGCCATTCCTTAAAGGATTGAGGTCCACGTCATTGAGAATGTACGTCCGGCCCTAGTTTAAACCCTCTCTCTCTCAGTCGCGCAGAGCAAGTCCACATGTGAGACTACTCGTCAGCAGCCCTTTCAGCTGATTAAAGTAAAACTTCTAGTTGGGTCCCAGGATCTACGGTTCTGAGCTAACGGCTGTAGGGTCCTCCAAATTAAGGTCTGTGTTACCGAAATGTCTAGAGTGAGCAGCAGCCACCGCTCTCTAAACCCCTAAACTCTAAATCCGTCTATATTTGGGTCGGTTTCGTGGGGCCCAGAGCTCAGGAGAGCAGAACGAAATGTGTGTTTGAGGGTTTGGGTTTAATTAGGGTTTAGAGGCCCGAAAACCACCCAAGAGCCCTGCAACCATAAGCCGTACAGGCTAAACTCATCAGACCACATGCCTCAACATCGACAAACCCTAAACCCTCAGGGCTGCAACGTAGAGCTTGAGCCCGGGTCTGCTGTGTTCGGAGCAAACCTACGAAACTCCGAATCCCCCAATCCAGCAAGACGCAAAAACTATCCATCCCGAGGAGGGAGCCATTAATTCAGCGAGGTTGATCCCCCTACACCCCTTGGTACCTCCGCGCCATAAACACTGTACAAAACCCTTCTAACAGTCCTAAGGCCCTACAGAAGGGGCTAAGGGCCCCCCGATGGCCAGGGCCACCCCTAAGCGCCGTGCTCGACTGATCTTCGCCGGAACCATCTTCATCTCCTACTTAACGGGCTTCAGGGTTTCGGGTATAAGGTTTGGGTGTTCTGTTGGAAGCAAGAAGGGCTTCTACAGGGGTTCTGAGCTTTATCAGGGCTCTCAAAGGCGTGATGTTATAGGGATCTGTTGACCTCCTGTTTTGGGCCTGAGGTTTAGGGGTTTGGGGTTTAGGGTTTGGGGTTTAGGGTTTAGGGTTTAGGGTTTAGGGGTGATCGGAAAGGTCATGGCACAGTAACCTCCAGAAAGTTGGAACATGGACTAAGAATAACTACTCCTAGGACACCCTATACCTTCATCAGGAGCACGGTGCTCCAACTTCCTGGCTTGCACTTCAATGGCTGTTCACGGAGTATCGTAGATGGAGTTTACCTTAAGGGTACAGGGTGTTGAACTGAATTTAGGGAAATTAGACAGTAGGATTTAGAAGTTATTACAATACGATAGGCTTCATTTTAGTTTATAAAACTATCGGCTTGGAGTGTTTTTTTACAGTGCAGTGGCCTTTGCCTTGCGCCCAGGGTCCACCTCACAGCATGTGCACACCCTCCAAACAAACTCTAACAGCACTCCGAAGAGCCTGACGTCACCTTCCCAGAGAGCCCAATACCTCTTACATTCGGGGAATATAGCTCAAATCATAATATGAAGCCCCCTAATGATTTAAAGTGTAATTCCTCAACTAATGGGATATTGGGCTCTCTGGGCTCGTTCTCGACTATGTTGCTTGAAGTTTGGGATCATCAAGGTTCCTATGCAACGTGACTGAGGGGATGCTCAAACAGAGGCTGCTTAGGGTTTAGGGTTTAGGGTGCAGGGTATAGGGCTTAGGGTTTAGGGCTTAGGGTTTAGGGTGTAGGGATTAGATTTTAGGTTTTACAGTGTAGGGTTTAGGGCTTAGGGTTTAGGGTCTAGAGTTTCTTGAAGGTACGTGTACGTGGGCAGACATGTCGGTGAGGTGAAACTTATCATGACCCTAAACCCCAATCCCCGAAACAATCCCCGAAACTCTAAACCCTAAGCCACAAAAAACCTAAGGTCAAAACCCCAAGCCCAATAATACAGGGGCCTGAGTAATTACCTGTCAGGTACTATTTTGGGGGCACCTTGTATGGAAAAAATATACCCCAAAACTGCACCCTCTTCTAATCGTTGAAGCCCCGATATTAGGGTTATACTATACTATACTGAAAATAAGGAGCCCCTAAATAGTACAGGTATTTGTTAAGGCCCCTGTATTACCTGAAGACCTTCAGCAAGACCCAGGGTTCACCGACCTCGTCGACTTCGATATCAACGAAAGACGAGGCATCCTCCAGAGGGTCCGGTTTCACATCTACGGTTGACGATATAAATACTGTACAACCTTAGTGACCCTAAACTATGGGAATTTATGGTATATTCCTTATTATGGGCAATGCAGCATTTAGATCATCAACCGTAGGAGCTAAGCGCCATGGCTTAATGACGCTTACAGGTGTTTCGGGCGTTAGGGTTTTGGGTCTAGGGTTTAGGGATTATAAGCTTGAACCTTAGAGTGCTTGGGATGCAGGGCTTAGGGTTCAGGGCTCAGGGCATCTAGAATCTAGAACTCAAGGTTCGGGGCGCGGTATCCAGGGCTCAGGCTCTGGAACCCCGACGAAGTTCTTGGCAGGATTGATAAATATTGGAGGCGATGTGCGTTTGTAGTGGTTTGGGGTAATGTAGGAACTTGATTAACAAAACGTGGGCCTTTATTATTAGGGCTCCTTATATGAATCCTTCTATTTTGGGGGTTATAGGCCCAGGGTTTCCTAATCAGATTCCTACATGATTGTACCAACCTCGTAACAGGTCTTTCCCTCTTTGAACTCATGTGTCTCTGGCGTGTCGTTCGCGTGGATTGATGCTGGTTCGGAAAAGGACCGAGCTGTGCACAAGTACTCGATGGATCTAGGCCAAGGATTATGGTGGAACCCTGCCTTCAGGTGATAGGCGCGAGTACCTTCTTTAATCGTGCGTATGGCTCTCTCCAACTGGGAGTTGTGGAACGGATCGTTGGGGACGCCGGGATCCGGAAGCCAGCCTAAGAACTTCACTGCTTCTGTGAGCTCTGGAGCTGCATCCGACTTGACCACACGAATCGCCTTCCCATGTGCCCTTGTTCCTCAAAACTTCTGCAAACTTCTAAGGTTGCAAACTGCCATCCTTTGTGGCAAAGGTTGGTGCTTGTCCGCAAACTCCTGGTCGTGCATCCGGCTCTGCCGGAGAGAGATTGAGGGCGTTCGACGACCCCTAAACCCTAACCCCAAACCGCCTAAACCCTTAACCCTAAACCGCCTAAACCCTAAACCCTAAACCGCCTAAACCCTAAACCCCAAACCGCCTAAGCCCTGAACCGACTCCAACCGCGAAAGCACATTTGGTCGAAGCTCCAAGGGCTTGAGGTTTTTGGCCCTGAATCCTAAACCCTACTTGAATGTTCATGGGTAGTTATAAGTAGGGTTATAAGTCCCGCAATATGGGTTATAAGTATAGTTACCCTACTTATAACCCTACTTATAACTACCCATGAAACAAGTAAACCCAAACCCTCAACACCAGTACCTGAATACTGAAACCCTTGGCCCTAATTCCTGAAGCCTTCGGGTGTAAAGGCTTTGGGCCCGACGCGACTTCAAAGCCGAAACCCAGAGCCCTCAATCCTCGGCCCTAAGCCTTAGACCCCAAGCACAGTGCCCTGAACAAACCCTGAACCGTCAGCCTTAAACAAAAAGCCCCAAGCCCCAAACAAACCCTAAACCCTGAGCCCTAAATCCTAAACCCTAAACGTTAAACCCCCAGCCCTGGAGCCCTACAGTAGAAGCCGAAAAGTTGGAAACCTAACAGCCTCAATCCTTAAGAGTCATATCTAGGGAATCCCGGGCACTACTTGGCCTTAATCCGGTTTCCAACTTTATGGGTTCTACTTCTAAACCCTATAGATCCCTTAAAGGAACCCTAAAGATCCCTTAGTTCACTGCAAACAAACCCCAAAGCAAGGCGAAAGTCGAAGCAGAGGCCTCCCGAATCGCAGTGGCCTTGGGGCTTGCACAAAGAGCTTAGGGTTTGGGGTTTAGGGTTTTTAAGGTTTTTAGGGTTTTTAGGGTTTAGAGATTTTAGGGTTTAGAGTTTTTAGGGTTTAGGGTTTAGGGTTTAGAGCTTTTAGGGTTTAGGGTTTAGCGTTTAGGGTTTAGGGGTTTAGGGGTTTAGGGAGGTTCAGGATCCCAGGGGTGAGGGCTTCGGGGCTTCGGGTTAGGGATTAGGGTCGAGTGCTAAGGGTTTTAAGGACTGATTAAGGGTTTACGGATTAAGGCTCAGGGATTAAAGCTTACGGATTAGGGTTTAGGGATTTTTGACATTGCTTTATTGGCATTGGGCTACGTTGAGGAGCCCATGAATTACTGCTACCTATAAATCACCAATGTAAGATCCTAAAGCGGTAGGATCCTTGTTCAAGGACCCCGAATATAGGGTAGGTTGAGGGTTCGAAAGTCGGACTTCGCGGAGGCAGAAACCCCCAAAACTTCGAACTTGCAGCCCATGGGCTACAGGGCCAGGGTTTAGGGCTTAGGGTTCCGCACGGGCTTTTGTCGAGTTCTACACCCTGCAAAATTCTGATAGGGATCGATAAGGGTTCTGTGGAGGTGACAGACATGTCCCGGGACATCGATGGCTTCGGGCTCAAGGATTGAAACCCGCTCTGTAGAATCGTCAGTTTAAGGCTTCGAGGCAGCAGCGCGATCGATGCCCAACTGCGCTAGCTACTGTCCAAGATACCGCCTCAACTTGCACATCTGTCATAAACTCCGAAACTTCATCACCATCGTCACCATCATGACCATCATCTTCTCCATCGTCATCGTTTATCCTCATGAGCGGCACCCCATGACCAGCCATCATCGCCACCACCCCCAACCCTCGCAAAACCGACTCTCCGTTCTTCTTCCGAGGCCTTGCACCCCACAGGGGCAGTTCTCTAAAGCAGGGTCCCTTGTAGGGCCCTTCTTATAAGGGGTGCCGTACTATTTGGGGGACCCAAACAGGGAGGACGGTAATTTAGAGAACTACCCACCGGATCGCCTTGGAGCCCTTCGAAGCTCAAAGCTCACTTAGAGGGCTCCTTGGGCTGAGGAGATTGTAAGTGTTCTAGATATTAGGAGTTTCCGAAAATTAGGGGGTTCCTTATTTGGGGGGTCCTTTTAATAAGGATCCTACTATTTAGGGTACTTTGTTAGGGTCCGGAAACTCCAATGTTCTGGAAGGGTGCTACAAAGGCCCGGCCTGACGCAGTAAGTGGTTCTATAATTCTGGCAACTGCGTTTGAGAGCACCGAACGAGGTACTAGATTATGGTCCCTTTTGGGGCACCCTACATATTAGGTACCGTATATATTGACGACCCCAAAAAGGGCCATAATGTCGATAACCACCCACTTATGACTTCCCACCGAAACCAAAAACTACCACGCACCTTCAATCCAAAGGTACAAGGAGGGACCCTTAATGATGACCCCCAGGTATATACCCTTAATGTAGCTAGTATATACCCATTTTTCCGCCCATTATGGGGTAGGGGTCCCTCCTTTTCCCCTATGATTCAAGTCAGGGGCTCCCTAAACCCTAACCCGAGGGGCTCGGGGGTTCGGCGCGTTGCGCTTAAAGGGGGCTTGGGGCTGTGGGTTTGGGGCTTTGGTCGGTGGGGGAGTCTTGGGTGCGGGCTTCGGGTGGGATTAGGGGTCTAAGACTTAGGACTACGGTTGATGATAAGTAATGCAGGATTTATACCATCAGCCGTAGGAGGTAGGGTTTCGGGTTTAGGGTTTAGAGCTTTGGGCTTAGGATTTAGGGTTTAGGGTTTCAGGGTCAAGGTGCCGGACTGGGATCCTAAACCCTTGCGCCGAACTGCATCAAACCCTGAAACTGCCAGAACCAGCTGAGCGGCACTTGCCAGAAGAACCAAAACACCTGGGAAGAGTTCTGGTT